GAGAAGAAAATTGAGAGGCAAATCCCGTAAGCCGCCGGTTGCACCCTTGATGAGAAGAAGTATACTCCGAAGGCATGACCAACCGATCGCTCACGGTATGGAACGGCATCTCGGCAGCCTCAGTGTCGGTGGCGGCCAGAGGAGATACTTCCAGATTGTGCGGTTGGTTAGAATGTTGAGCGGGTTTGCCGCGATCCCCCCCTCCCCCCCCCCCCCATGGCCTAAGACGCTCCTGCCTTCGCACGTTTAACAGCCGCCAGTGGAACGTTGGGCTCTTGGAGCCTCTTCCCCAGCACCCCGTGTCAAGGGGATAGATGAAGCGGCCACCGTCACAGGAACGTTGGACGCTAACGTCAGAGCAACCACGGGAACAGACTTCCCCTGTGCCGCCGCTGATGAGGACGCACCACCAGTCTTCACCCCCTTAACAACTCTCCTCTTCGCCTTCGGCCGGTTAGCATCGGCAAGCTCCCTCAAACCAGGAAAAAAGACGCATAAGTAAAATGACATGAGAAAAGGAAGAGTGTAAACAGTCAGACAAAATTCTACTAACCATAAAAACCACGAACGTGCTGGTATGCACTCTCAGGACAGATGTGCTGCACACGCAGCTGAAAACCCTCTACGATGCGGGTCACGTGGTCCTTCACATACTTAGGGAACTGATGGGAAGCGCACCAAGCATCCTTGGAACCAACCACGTAACCTGTGAGCGGCTTTGACTCTCCTGCATACCACTTCCATGTTGGTCGAATCACGAATATAGTAGATCAAGCGAAAGGCGTCAAAAGAAGGCTCCTCCTTAAGGCGGCCACACGCCAGCCGGTACATCACTGAATGAAAAATGATTGTAGACGACAAGCGCCCTAGGGTGCAACCAAGCCAATGCAAGACCTTAGTTAGAATGGGGTCAAGCGGGAAACGCAACCCCAACTTCACCTGCTCCACATGGATAGGAATCCAACCAACCGGACAAGACTCAGAGCGGCTCACCTCCGAGGGGGTCGCATAATACCAGTCAGGAGGTAGGTGGAGCGACTTCAGGCGGTAAAGCACCTGCTCAGGCTTAAAGAACGCCTCATAACTCGGCCCCAGTGCAAACACATCGGGAGGGAACAGGTTGACCGCCCCACATCCTCTCGTTGCGAAGAACCGTATAAACCAAATACTTGATCGCAAGCGGAAGCGGTTCTACGCCCTATGATCCACTATCTAAAGAAGAGGAAGTACTGGGAAGCGCCTCCAAGCGCACACCATCACTGTCAACCGCCTCATCCTCGTCCAAAGATATACTATCTAAACCTACCCGCTCAAAATCACCCATGTTATCCCCAACCGCGGATGAAGTACACATAACCCCAGCTGGTACAGGGCGGATGTTAGCAAAAGAGTTATCTAAGTCTAAATTGATTCAGAAAAGACAATCGTCCAATTCAGAACCACTCCCAACGTAGAATTCTAGCTCGGATAAATCCCACACGCACTCAGAGGCGGTTCACGTGGGAGAAAAGTGGGTCATACCTTGTGACACAGGAGCAGCTCCTCCAGAGGGCCCCACATTTTTCTTCGCAGGGGCAGGTGGCGACAGAGGAACCAGCGCGGCGGTTGGATTCTTCTCGGGAACCGCCTCTCCAACGAGGTTGATGACGGAAGCTTCGCCCGTGGGGGCGGCAAAATCGCTACCAGAGGCGGCGGAGGGGGTTCGATCGTCACTTGACATATGCAAACACAAGCACTATCGCCGGATTCGACGCAACAATCACTAAAGCGTCGCGCCGGAACGAATCGCCCAAAATAAAAACAACACAAAAAGTAAGAGGAAAGAAGAAGATGCATGAACACAACATAAACAGGACGAGGAAGCTTACCTGGAATAGGTCGGGTTTATAAAGTTCGGCGGCGGCGGCAACTCCAAGTCTGTCGCTGAGGAAGAAAGGAAGAGGACTAGCTGTTTTCCCAAAGAAGAAGCAAAAATGGCGGAAAAAGCTCCCTTCATGGCCATTTAAAGTAAAGTGGAGGGGTTTCAAAATCCAAGGGTGACGTTTCACCTGACCACGTCAGGGCACCACAATCGATGTGCGCCACGTGGCATCAGCAAAGCCGAGGGAGTAGGCACATGCGCCCTAGGCCGCCCTCAGACGTTCCCGCCTCATCCCCTCCCGGTCAGGGGCAGGCGGGTAATCATGGGTAAGGCGACCCCTAACCGCTTAATGATACCCAGGTAATCTAGTAGCCGCGAGAACCTAAAGCCTCTCACGCCTAAGGGGCAAATGTTGGGCTAATCATTAAGACATATGGGCCCCCAAGCCCATGATCACTAAAGGCCCATTAGACAAACAAACTCAGCCCGGAGGCGGTCTTCCTTGACACAATGGAAACCGCCCGACATGTATTCAACGGAAACATGTCAGGGCGCCCGACAACAGGCATGTACGGCGCCCTGACAAACCCAGTACGAATCTGACCATGCATTTGATTGAGGCAAGAGGCCCCTCGGCCGCCCGACAGTTCATTAGTTGTCATCACTCCTATGCCCACTAGTATAAATAACCATCAATAGATCACATTTATGGTAACTCCAACTACTCATTCTCTTTCTTATTTACTATTCTCTCAATCCTCTCTCTAACTTAGGCATCGGAGGAGGTCCCAAGATCCCCCTGAGAACCTTTTTTGCTGGGATTCGGAGCCCGCCTTCGATCATCAAAACCGCTCGAGGCCGTCGGGACTCACAAAACCGCTTGGTACGATCCAAGCACAAAGAATACAGCTTTTCCCCATTAGGGATCTTCATTGAATTGTCATTATCGATAATCACATATTGCTTTTTTTCTGATTACGTGTGTATATTCTGTATGACCGCCTTAAGTGTTGATTATTAACCAACTACTGAGCCGAAGCTTACGACTTCAGCTCTGTCACGAAGTATTTTGTCATTTGTGTTTAGTAGCATTGTTCCGACTAATTACAACTTTGATTCTAGTTTACGAAAATAAGTATTTTCTTAGTCGTCAAATTAGTCTCTTTAATCTCCACACAGGGGCCCAAAATGATGGACATTATCGTAAAATAATTAGCTAGCTAGACGGCAAAACAACTAGCATCGTGGATATATATGCCTACCAACTCTTTTGCTCAATCCACAGTTTTTTTAATTTTTTCTGAACAACATAATTATTATAGATAACATAGGTTGATTGCAGTAACACCAGCTTGGAGTAGTGTAATTAGTGTATTTCAATGGCCGCGTAGAAGTTTCTAACAGGTTCGGTTGTATTTGTAATTGCTTATTTGGTTATCGGTGGGTAATTTTTGAATCACGCCCGCATTGTTATATTAGTCGGTTAAGCGTAATCGTAGAATTGGTTATTGGTTATTATAACGGTTAACCAACTAACCGCTTAGCAAGTGATTCTGCAAGATTATATTAACTTAACCGATCGACAACCGAACCAACAGTTGACACCCCCTCTTTTTTTTTTCAATTGTGCCATTTTGTATATTTTCCCTACGTTACGCATGTATGTGTTCATTTTCCATTTTTTATCATTGATTTGAGTTTTGCTTATTCGTATTGAGACTGAGAGAATTAAATTGGGGAAAGTAGAAGATGGTTGGACATGGAGGAGATTGTTTGCTCGAAGTTCGATAATTTTATGAGAGCGACATAATCGTTTTGAATAGAAAAATAGAAATATTTATATTCCAGTATTGCATATTGATCACCAACTGAATATTCAACTACAAATTACATGGAAAATCATTTTAGTCTACCAATAACCACACCATTAATTTATAATAGATCAACGATATTTCCATGGAATGGCAAATGGATGGATAGTTAGGGGTGGTTTGGTAGTTGTGATTGTTATAGTTGTGTTTATTGAATACATGCATTGTGCACAAATACAATGTTTGGAAGTATCAAAGTGTAAAACAATGCATGTATTGTTTTAGATAGGTCCCACCAACAATCACAAAAAATCATGCATTATACAATCTCAACTAAAAGTTGAGATTGTTGTGATTGTTGATTTTATATTTGTGTCCATTTTTTCTTTCCATTTATATCCCTATTAGTTTTTGTCTTATACTAAAAGTTGAGGATAAATGTGACATTTCCTCATAAAGTAACTTTATGCAAGTCAATACATAAAGTAGAACCTCAACAACCAAACAATGTATTATTGCAATGCATCCATTGTACCAATACATGTATTTATTTTGTTGTGATTCATTACAATTCAACGATTTAACATTCGCAACTTCCAAACGACCTTTAGATATATATGCTACGCACCTGGTACTACCTTAACCCCTGCTGGTTGATTGGACGTCGTCTTATTTTTTATTTCCAAAAAAGATTGACGAATAGATTAGACGTTTTGCGTATGGCAAGAGACATAATATTTATATTTTAGGAGCAAAAGAGGGCTCCCCGGCCCACAAAAACCCACGCGGAAAGAAGAAGAAGAAGAAGAAGAAGAAGAAGAAGAAGAAAGCAGAAACGACGTTTCTCGCTTCTGGCTTCTCCCTTGCTTTTACGTTTTCTGGTTTGAGTTTCGGATTTATTATTAGGGGTATAATTAGTCAAGTTAAAATTCATTTGATTTCCTCCTCCCTAATTTCGGCAGAAATGGTCAAACAGAATCCTAATCACACACGCCGTATGGCAATTAATTAATTCAACAAACATAATCCCTTGAAATTATATATATTTGTTTTGTTCCCCCACATACCTACAAATATGATCTCTCATTTCACACAACGAAGGTTGGAGCTCGTTTGATATTGGTTAGAATCCTAGGTTAAATTGTTTTATTTATCATTGCCATTAGGGATGGACATCGGCCGATTTGATGCAAAAGCCTATCGAATTGAGCAAGTACCGGACCAAAAAGAAAGGAAAAATAAGTATTAAAATTGGATCAAAAGAATTTCTGGTTTATTTGATTTGATTCAGTCTTGCTCAAATTAAATTTGGTCCTCCATTTATTCTTCATACGTAAAATAATTTATAAGACCAAAATCAAATCAAAATATATCCGATTCGGTCAGTTTCGTTCCAAATATCAATCGGAACGATTCCATATGGGGTGAACAGGATCGTTGCCCACTGCCCACCCTAGTTGCTATGATGTGATTTTCGTTCACGATGCATCATCGAGTGGAAATTCTTCTTTTCGGATTTCATATGACTTTTATGAATCTCGTTGATTTTCTTACTGTTTTTTACATTCTCATTGTGAAAAATAAAAATCAATGTTGTGCTACTCGTGTTCTTGTCAACATGTATTGCACAAATAACTACTTTCGATGTTCTTACATCTTTTCTTCTTGAGCTAGTTCAAGAGCCACAATGATTGGAGTGACAAACTAATAACTTGATGGTTATTCATAGAGGTTTGTACTGCTATCGACTCATATGAAGTGATAGCAAAGTCCATGTTTACAGTACCGAAAACCTTTATAGTGAAGTGATCATTAAATCCCTATCTAAGACCGATAAAGTAATGGCCTAAAAGTCGACCATTGTGTTTCATTAATTGACCGTAATTTCCCTTTATGATGTAGTTACGTCGTTCGATCGACCATTTTTTCAGGAGCGGTCCACCGTTTTCTCCAAATCACCGTATTACCCTTCTATATATCATTTGTCATTATTTGCATCATGAGAATTGACTAATCTCGATTTTTGAGTTTTATTTGGCATGGAATGTATCTTGTATATGTACGTTCTGCAGAGCTAGAGAGCTGTACGTATTGGGTTATGGCCGTGAAACTAGCAAAGGGACCAGACCAGACCCAGCAGATCGAAGGCGCGCATGCACATTTTTCATTCTTTCTTTCTTTCTGTTCTCTCTCTCTCCCTCTCTCCTCTCCTCCTCTCTGCTTCCATTGGCGCCTGATTAAATACTGATCGATCAGTACTCGCCGGCCGCAGCCGCGTTTTATAATTTCGATAATAATTTGCGGTCCCAATGCAACTAAACTAACTATCCATTAACGCCCCGACCGCAGGCCGCGGAGCCACCTGCACTGCAGTCCGCCGCCCGGCCACTGCATCGCTCCATCAACCAAGTTGAGTAGCTATAGCAGAGTATCGATAACATCAATTTCGGCGACAATTATAGACTAGCTAGCTAGGGTTATGGTGAAAGTAGTAGTAAGTAGCTAGCCAGTATGAGAGGCAGAGTTTGTTGGGAAATTAAGGATGTGTGGTGCGGCTTAATCTTGTGCCCAAAACCCAAACTCATTTTCGTGTTTATTTTTTTATGCATGCTATTGGGGAGCAAACGGAAAGGAAAATGACAAGTTTTTTGATGCCATCGCGTGCTGATTGTCAACACTAGCCAGGACTAAAACACCTATAGTATACTCTAGGTGTCTAATTCTCAACCAACCTTAATTTGTGGGCTTTGAGGAACTGCGATCCATGTAACGGATGGTTTTTCTTTTTGGATCGATTGTAGGCAAACGCCAAGAACAAAGAAAGGGTTACATGGGGTTTGGGAGAAATGGACAATGTTTCGAGGTAAAACCACACCTCGTTCATCATCCTGGAGAATGTGCATTAAAGGGGTTGGCGCGTCAACTAGTTCATACATACCATGGGGATAGACGAGACCGTGCTTCGAGAGCCAGTCCGCGACTCTATTCCCTTCACGGTAAGTATGTACTATATTGACCAACCAGTCTTGCGCAAGCAACCTGCGGATAGATCTCAAAAGAGAGGCAAAGGGGTGAACATGGTCGAATCTATGCTGAATGAAGTCAATAGCTAGCCAGGAATCAGACTCAACAATGAGGGGCCTGAATCCTCTCCTCCACGCCATCTCAAGACCCTGCTTAATAGCCCAAAGCTCTGCACAAGCCGGCGAACAGTCACCAATGGAGTAGTAGAACCCCCCCAGCCATCGTCGTTGATCATCCCTGAAGACTCCTCATGTTGCCGCCTTCCCGGGGTTTTCTTGAGAAGCTCCATCAACGTTAAGTTTACACCAACCCCTAGGTGGTGCACTCCAGCCAACATCCGCCTCGACCCTGTCCGGCTTTCGATTACCACGAAGCTGCAACGGTGAGGGAGCCATCCAGGCATAGTGCCAAAGATTAACCTTAAGGTGGATAGCATGCCGCAGAGAGTGGGGAGACAAAAACTTGCTACCATCGTTGAAGACACCTTCGTTCCGGTTCTTCCAAAGAGTCCACAGAGCAATGCTGAAGCTTGAGGCCCAGGGGACGCCATTACTGTCTGTCTTCGTGTTAAGGATATTCGTGCGAACCCACTTATCAAGGTCTGCTGTCAGGAAATCCACCATGTTGTTTGCTGACACCTCCCTTGTCCAATAGAAGAGGGAGGTCGGGCAGTCCCTCAGGATATAAAGCTCGGTCTCTGGCACATTAACACACCTGGGACAAAAAGGATTAGGAGCTATGTGCCTTTCGAACCTCCTTTTGTTTGTGTTGATGCGATGGAGAAGACCCAGCCAGATGAAGTGTCTAACGCGCTTCGGAACTTGAAGGTTCCACACTGCTTTCCAGGTCTGCCGATCCGTAGTCTGGGGCGCAGGAAAGGCAATCCGGTAAGCAGATTTAGCTGTGAAATCCCCGGTAGAGGTGGGCTGCCAGTATAATCTGTCTTCTTCTGTAGAGAGCGGATCTGTAGCTATCGTCGTGCTCTTATCCATGACATCCGTTGGCAGCCATTGTTGGAAGAGCTCCACCCGCCATTGGTCGTCGTCATTCATGTAAGCAGCTACTGGTTTCTGAGTCTCCATCTCCGAGATCGGCGACACTGCAACATCCTTCAGTGGTACCTGCAAAGCCCAAATGTCAGTCCAGAATTTGGTGTTCTTCCCATTTGAAATGTTCCAAGCACATCCTTCTCTATTCCGTCCGTACTTCCCCTGCACGACTTGAGTCCACAAAGTATCTTTCTCTTGCAGAACCCTCCATCCGCTTTTTGCCAGGAGCGTTGTATTTGAATGTCTTAGCGAACGAAGACCAGCTCCTCCATTCTCTTTCGGTTCGAGGAGCTTCTTCCATCCCACGAGGTGAGAGTGTTTTTTGTCCTCTGTGTCGCCCCAAAGGAAATTCCTGTTGATCTTGTCAATCTTCTTGCATACTGAGGATGGGAGCATCTCTGTCTGCATGGAATAAACAGAGATGGAGGTAGAGACTGAACGTACAAGAGTTAAACGAGCAGCAAGAGAGAGTTTCTTAGCTTTCCAGGATGAGAGCTTCTTCTGAACCTTCGGGATTAGCTCTCTGTATCGGTCTTTGGTGACTCTAGAATTAATGGCCATGACACCCAGCTATCTCCCTATATCTGAGGTGAGAGAAATCTCTGCCCTATTGCTGTAGGCAGCAGCGGTGTCTATCGACACATTAGGCGAGACAAAGATCAGCGATTTCTGAAGGTTCACTCGTTGTCCCGAGCTAGAACAAAACTCCTCCATGCACTCCTTAATAGTTGCTATCTGACCAAGCCCCGCCTCCGCAAAGAGCATAAGATCACCTGCAAAAAACAGATGGGAGAGTTTTGGGCCATCGGGGGAGAGCGTCAAGGGTTTCCATCGTTTCTCCTCGATGGCCTGATCAATTCTATGAGAAAGACGTTTCATGCACAAAACAAAGAGATAGGGGGAAAGAGGATCTCCCTGTCGAACACCTCTGCTGGGGGTGAGAGCATTTGAGAGCTCTTTATTCCAGGCTATGCGCATCTTATTCTTTTCAACACAGAACATGATGCAGTTGATCCAGGAGCTGGGAAGACCGATCTCCATCAAGGTGTCTCGGAGAAAGTCTCATCGAAGTCTGTCGTACGCCTTCTCCATGTCAATCTTTATTACCACTCCACCTCTTCGCCCTTTTCGCTTCCTGAGGGAGTGCAGAATCTCTTAGACCACGATGATATTTTCTGTCGTTTGTCGTCCTGGGATGAAGCTGCTTTGCCTTGGAGAAATCCACTTCCGCATAACGGGCTTGAGGCGGTGAGTCATCGCCTTGGTAATGGTTTTCAGACTCACATTGTTGAGCGAGATTGGTCTAAGCTGCGTTACCATTTAGGGTCTGTCCACTTTGGGAATGAGGACCAAGGTACTCCGTGATTGATTCTGCGAGCTGTCCCGTATCAAAAAACTCCAAAGCCATTTTAGTCAAAGTCTTACCCACCATAACCCAGTTACTTTGGTAGAACAAAGCTTGGAATCCATCCGGGCCAGGGGCTTGCAAGGGTTTCATATCCATGATCGCCCGATAGATATCCGCCGCAGTAAAAGGGCGAAGGAGGCAGATCATCTCCTGTTGGGAGGCCCGAGGAAAACGATTATTGTGCATGTGGTCGACATATGGGGATGAGTCCTGAAAAAACAGAAGCTGATAGTAGTCGAAAACGTGTTTAGCGAGGGCTGTCGGTTCCATGTAACGGATGGTTTGCTGTTTTGGTTGGAATATAACTCACCACCAACATCCACTTCTGTCTTTGAAATTAATTTAGTATCTAATTAATCAGTGAGAGAATGTGAAGGGGGCATTTATTATGTTTATATTATCATATGTCGTTCGATAATACGAATAAATATTATAAAAAACAACGAATATACTCAAAAAAATGTTCTTCTGTCTTTGAACCCAAACTCGAATGAATCAAATTTAATTGAAAAGAAACTGGTATTTCCTCGTGTCGTATGTCGAGTATTCAATCGTTTGGAACAACAATTTTTTCAACACCCAAACAATACTTGTTTTTACCTAAGTCCTCAAGCACCAACACATCAAAAGTTCATGACACACCCTATTTAATTTAATTTTTTTTACATTTGATCCCTCCGTCAAGAGGTAAGCCATACCGGATAGCAAATACAAAATCAAAGTGAGCACCACTCAAAACAATAACTAAACGGGCACGTGACACCGTAACGAAGCAACAAAATCAAATCCCTTAACTGAATGAGATGACGTAAATTGGACATGACAGACTACCAAATGAGTCACCCTATTTCGATTGTTACTGATGAACAAAAGACTTCAATTCAGAGGAAGCTCCATCAGTGAGCGAATTTCAAAAAGTATAGAACCACCCTTAGCGTCTACGTATACTGAAGCGGGATCCAAACATTTATCAATCACCACTTTGGCATCCCACTTGAAAATAACATGCGTAAGACTCTTGCTATTATACGTAGAAATTTCATCTCGCAAGGCAAACAGCTCAACCACCAACGGAATGTCAATGAACGTATCCATGTGACCCTTCTCCAATAACTACGACGTAACTGAAATTGATTCTTGGAGAAGAGGTTGTTGGGTATGTTAGGTCGGGCTCTGGTTTGAATGTCTAGAGCTGAGTGACAAACATCCTGGAACGTCCTCATTCACATGGAAGAACCATTGGGATGCTAAAGTCTATGGTTGTAGATTGTTGGCCTAAAATAGAACCATGCAACGGTTCTTTCAAATTCGCCACAATAGAGAAACAACTTGTAAAATCAAATAGGCGATGAAACTGAACACGTTGACCTTTCTCATCACAATTCAAATAGACAAACACAAGAACATATGAACACGAATTCCCATGGAAATATAGAAAAAATCAGAACACCAGCCGACCCTACTGGTCACTGGACGAACAACATGACAGTCTGAAAAAACAAAAGAACGAATATATTCTTCCGAAAGATAGAAGAAGCCCACTCGATCTTGAATCTGTTTACTGTTTTTATAAGTTGGGCTGGGCTGGGCCCAAGCCACGATAAACCATAATCTGGGCAGACGAGTAAATGCCGACCACTGAAACGGAGCGTTTGGCAGCTGTCGGCGGCGATAGCCAGCTAAAAAGCGACGGTGGCGCTCATATAAAATGAAAAAATTCCCCGCGCGAAAGCGACGGTGAAGCTTCCTACCAAAAAAGTCAGCAGTCGTCAAAAAAATCAAAACACACGATTCCTGCCATTTCAACTACCGCTCGATTCTCTCCGATTGGCGTTCCGATTCACATTTGGATTCTCCTCTGTGTGCGGATTCTGATGTTTCTCTCCCTCGATCCTTGAGAAGACGGTACGACTTTTGTTTAGATTGTGGATCTGAAAAGAAAGCCGGTAGAGTATGGCGGAAGGAAGCTTTTGGCCGGCGATGGATCTGTTGCGGTCGGAGCCAATGCAGTTGGTTCAGCTCATCATTCCGATGGAATCGGCTCACCGCACTATCTCTTATCTCGGCGACCTCGGCCTCTTCCAATTCAAAGACGTAAGACTTCCGCTAAAGCGAAATTTTCTTCTTAAGCATATTAGAAATCGCCTTTCAGTTAGTTCAGATCTTTCAATTCCTGCTATGATATTGCCTATTGGATTACCTTGACTGCAAAGATCAGTCACTTGCCGAAGTAGTAAATGAAGTGTTCACGTTTAGGAATTTTTCTTTTTGGTTTGGATGAATTCCAGATTGCTGAATCTTGAAAATGCAGTTGTTGAAACTATTTTCACAATGTAGAAGAAGAAGCCTGCTCTTAATGCGCTTCCATGGCGTTTCTCTATGCACGGTGGCCGTGGCAATCATAATCTGACAGTAGAAAACAGTTTTCCAGAAACTTCATTAGATGAACAGTTGTAGATTGTAAATAGGCTTCCAGTGAAATAATATTATGTTTGATACGGAGGCAGTGAGTTGCGGCGCTAGATTTTAGGAATTTTCAGTTCGGAGAAGGATATACATTTAGATATCGGCGAGCTTAGCTCAATTCTGAACATATTACTTGGAGTTTAGGCAGTGAGATGAAATGCAGATGTTGTGCCTGTTCTGTCTTGTGCATGCTGTTTTCACTGCTAGTGCTGCTAACCCCTCGGTACTTCTTCTTGCAGCTGAATCCTGAGAAGAGCCCATTCCAGAGGACTTATGCTGGTCAGGTGAGTTTTGTTCTACTTCCCCTTTGAATGGATATCTTGGTTCTAGTGAAGGTTTACATCAGTTTGCAAAGTAGGATAGACCGAAACTCGGCTCCTTATGCGAGTGTTATCCAACATACAGATCAAAAGATGTGCAGAAATGGCACGCAAGCTACGTTTCTTCAAGGACCAGATGAAGAAGACTGGTTTGTCACCTTCAACAAGGACTATAAACACTGAGATTGATTTAGACAGTTTGGAGGTATCTGTTGATTGAAATTATGCGATTGATCATAGAAAATTATATGAATGAAGTTCATATATTTCTTGTTAGTTGAAAAATGATGTTGTTATCATCAGGTGAAGCTTGGAGAACTAGAATCTGAGTTAATGGAAATCAATGCAAATGATGAGAAGCTGAGGCACACTTATAATGAACTGTTAGAGTACAAGCTTGTTCTGCAGAAGGTATAACTGATTCTGCTGTTTGGCCAATTTACTAGAAGTGTAGTTTTTTTGCTGAAGTCGGAGGACTTGTATCAACGACTGGATGTTCAGTGTTGTTTTTAATATCATTTCAGGCTGGTGAATTTTTTAACTCAGCTCAAAGCACTGCTGCTGCTCACCAGAGAGAGTTTGAAGCACAAAGTGGTGGAGAAGGTTCCATTGACAGTCCATTACTATTGGAACAGGTAAGTGCTTCAATATTTTCTGTGGTCGCACTTTTGGACTTGTGAGAGTAATATGTTAGAGCTGAATGCAGGAAATGACAACCGATCCATCAAAACATGTTAAGTTGGGATTTATTAGTGGCCTTGTTCCTAGAGATAAAGCTATGGCTTTTGAGAGGATTCTGTTCCGTGCAACCAGAGGCAATGTGTTTCTGAAGCAATCTGTTGTCGAAAATCTGGTCGTTGATCCAGCATCGGGAGAGAAGGTGGATGTCCACAATTTGCGTTTTTCTATCTTCAGTTTGAATACTAACAGAGCACATAAGTTGCATTTGAGAAACTGAAACTTACCATTCTGCAGGTTGAGAAAAATGTATTCATAGTTTTCTATTCTGGTGAACGAGCCAAAAACAAAATTCTGAAAATTTGTGAAGCTTATGGAGCAAACCGCTACCCATTCACAGAGGACCTTGGCAAACAGTTTCAGATGATTACTGAGGTACATAATGCTTACATTTGATTTTCCATGAACTTCCAAGATCTTCATTACAAAGAACTGCCAAACACCAACATTTTTATGTCAACCTTACTGTTAACTTATCGCAAATTCTTTAGACTACATCTTTTCAGTTCACTTGACCTGGTGGTTGGTTGTTGCTTGGTAATTAATGTGGTAAAAATTAGCTGATTTCTAGGTTTCTGGAAGACTTTCAGAACTCAAGACTACCATAGATGTTGGAAAGGCACACCAGAGCAATCTATTACAGAGAATCGGCTTTCAGATTGAGCAATGGACCGCCCTGGTATGTTTTGACTTGTTTCTTTCATTGCCCCAAGTGTTGCCTCTTTCTTAGTGTTCCTAGAAGTGTTTAGCACTTAGTAATTCTATTTTATTCCTAAATGTGTAGGTAAAGCAGGAAAAATCTGTCTATCACACTTTAAACATGCTGAGTATAGATGTCACAAAGAAGTGCCTTGTTGCTGAAGGTTGGTGCCCTGTTTATGCAGCCCATAAGGTGCGCTGTGTGATTTGTGATGCCTAGTACAGTAGTTCATGGTTAAACATCGCCTTATTTTTCTTGAAGCAGTATAGTTATGTCCAAATACAATTGGGAATTTTCTCTTCAGTTCCAGGATACACTGCAGCAGGCAAGACTGGACAGCAACTCACAGATAGGAGGCATATTCCAAGTTTTGCAGACAAAGGAATCACCGCCTACTTATTTCCGTACAAATAAATTCACGACGCCGTTTCAAGAGATTGTTGATGCTTATGGGTGAGCCAGTCATGTGTAAACTAAATAAAGATGTAGCTTCTGCTAGGCTAATGCAACATTTTTTTTATAAGAAGCTTTGCAATATGTTCTCTGCTGATTACCAGTGCACATATTTTATCTGGTGGTGTACTATTGACATAACCATTGTGACACGTCATTCAGGAACTAACAAACATTTTTTGCCAGGGTTGCAAAGTACCGTGAAGCAAATCCTGGTGTTTTTACAATCGTGACATTCCCATTCCTTTTTGCTGTGATGTTCGGTGACTGGGGCCACGGTATTTGCTTACTGCTGGCCTCCTTATATTTAATTGCTATGGAAAAGAAGTACTCTAACCAGGTAATTCTTTGTTTTCTGGGAAACTATTGCGTTATCTGCTACTCTTGCTCAGTTTCTGCTAGTTAGAGCTGAATTGGATTTCTTAAGCAGAAGCTTGGCGACATCCTGGAAATGACATTCGGCGGGCGTTATCTTATCTTGATGATGTCAATCTTCTCAATATACACTGGACTCATATACAATGAATTCTTTTCTGTCCCTTTTGAACTCTTTGGCCCATCTGCCTACTCTTGCCGTGACTCATCTTGCAAGTATGGCACTTGAACTTTACTTCTTACAGAAGTAGTCTTCTCTGATTATTCTACTTCACATCTATTCACTTCTTATCAAACTAAAATTGCATTGCAATTTGCAGGGATGCATATAAGGCTGGTCTAGTTAAGGTGCGTGACACTTATCCATTTGGTGTGGATCCTGTGTGGCATGGAACGCGGAGCGAGTTACCTTTTCTCAACTCAATGAAAATGAAGATGTCGATTCTCTTTGGAGTAGCACAGATGAACCTTGGAATAATACTGAGCTACTTCAATGCAAAGTTCTTTTCCAATAACCTCAATGTCCGGTGAGTAATATTGTTGAATTAGACTCCAGCAAGGTTCCTATATCAGTTGCAGTGGAAAACTAACTCTAAATGAAGCTTTTATACGCATTTTCATATATCAGTTTCTTTCTCTTCGTATATTTTTCTTTGTTGGCATTGTTTTAACCTGCGAAGTTTGTTGCAGATATCAGTTTGTACCCCAAATGATTTTCTTAAACAGCTTATTCGGCTACCTCGCTCTCCTCATTATAGTGAAATGGTGCTCGGGCTCACAAGCTGATCTGTACCATGTGATGATATACATGTTCCTCAGTCCTACCGATGATCTGGGAGAGAATCAGCTCTTTTTCGGCCAAAAATATCTTCAGGTCTCTCTCTCTTGCCTGTTTTTTAATATTTTTCTATTTATTAATGAAGTTTCCCCTTCAAACACAAGGCCTAAATCATTACTTCTCCACATCTTCACTGCCAGATGCTGCTGCTCGTATTAGCCCTTGTTGCAGTACCATGGATGTTATTTCCTAAGCCTTTCTTGTTGAAGAAGCAACACGAGGAAGTATGCTCTCAACTTCACAGTCTCCAAATACAAAATCATTCATAAAAAAAACTTCTCAGTCTAATTACTTGCCACTTCTCTAGAAAGAACTTCCACTCATTTTCTCTAATTCTCATGTTTAGAGGCACCAAGGTCAATCCTATGCCCTACTCTATAACGCGGATGACAACCTTGAAACCGAGCATCATTCCAGCTCCCATGGTCATGAAGAGTTTGAATTCAGCGAGGTCTTCGTCCATCAGCTTATACACACCATAGAGTTTGTGCTCGGATCGGTGTCTAACACAGCATCATACTTGCGCCTCTGGGCCCTCAGGTCGGTTGCTTCTGCATTTTTTACCTGTAGTAAGCTTACATCAGGATCATCGATAATTCTCTAACACCCGAGTCTCTAATATTTCCAGTCTAGCCCACTCGGAGCTTTCAAGTGTCTTCTATGACAAGGTTCTGCTCTTTTCATGGGAGTAAGTGTTCTTTCTTTGCTATCATTTAACTTCAACTCTCAACAGCCAGATTCTCTTCCACGGCGTATAAGAAGTCTATACTTAATAATCCTTGCAGGTTGAACAATAGGGTCGTTCTTATCATCGGCATTATCGTGTTTGTATGTGCAACTGTTGGTGTTTTACTCGTCATGGAAACCCTGAGTGCATTCCTCCATGCAATGCGGCTTCATTGGATTGAATTCCAGAACAAGTTCTACGAGGGAGATGGATACAAGTTCTCCCCCTTCTCATTTACTCTCCTGCTGAGTGAAGAGGATGAAGCAGCATGAATATAGTAACTCGTAAGTTCGAATTGTTCTGAACTTATGGTACAGAGGCTACAAGCAATTCTTTTGAACTCAACAATTGAGAATGCACGTTATAGTAACTAATTCTTCAGGCTCCTGGCTGTTGGCAGGACGAACACTCTGGCTGGATATCTTGGCTGTCCCCTGCCGACTATGAACTAAATTCATTGCAGTGGCAATTGGTACATCGTTGCCTCTAACCCGATTCATTTCTCTGCCACAGTTCGTTAAATTTGTTCGGCCTCCTACATTGTATCATCCATTGGTTACTTCCTAGGTTATACTTTGAAATGTAATGTAATATTCGTGTTGTGAATAATAAGAAAAACCGATTTTTGTACCCTGCTATTAGAATCAAATTCAAAATGCAAGACACTATCTAAAGCACATTCATCTGATAATCCTGCGCACGGTCTTCGAACAATCACAAGCAATCAGGATATAACTAAACATTAAGCATTAACATAGTATCGTTTACCTGAATTCAAATTACATAGCATCAAAGCTTAAGTACCACGGTTATGCCTTACAAACCCATTACCTAAAGACAGCAGTTTATGCCTACAGAGCTTTTCTTCTTATATACACACAGGGCTCCATTTTGCCTTACATAAATTATGCAGGAAGCGAGTTCGAACACACGCGTCCACAACCTTCAGCAGATTCATTCACAACTCACAATGAAATTACTGAGGAACTACGCTAATGGCAGCAACAGAAGACACCATGGTATCCATCCCGCAGAGGTTCTTCCCAGTTCCCCTGCAGATCTTATAGTACCCTTCCTCTCCCCAGCTCTCCCCCCATGAGTTCTTGATGATCCAGTAAGGCTTGTTCTTCAGCCGGATCGGCGCAAATCCGGCTGCACCGTATCCCACCAGCAGCACGCCGTGGTCCTGGCTCTTCGGGCAGAGGTAAGGGCAGGATACTCCACCAACGTATGTCTGCATGAAGATGGCGTTGATCCCGACTGAAATCCAAACGAACAACTCAGCTTGGTAATACTAATCATGGTGAAATAGGAAATGGATATGGCTGTGAGTGTGAGTGTGAGTATGGGGGTTACGAACTTGAGAGAGGGCCGTGCTTGACCAAATTGGCAGCGATCTGATCCTCATCGCTTGTTATCACGCTGAAGTTCGACACGGACGCCACGACCTTGCTCTTGTCGAATTTGCAGGTTCCGTCCGTTCCGGTGTAGGGATAAGCCTCCTCCCGCTCCAGCCCGCCGGCCTTGAGAGTGTACTCGTAGGCTGAGGTCATCAGTCCGCCATTGCAGCCGGCGTCGCAAGCTCCGTACTCCGACGGATCGCACTGCGCAAGCGATTGTCACACAATCGAGATCTAACTTTTAATTGAAGATCAATTCACAGAGGCAGATCAAAAGTTCGATTGGTTCAAAGAGTCAACGAACCTCGTGATCGCAATCCACGAGCTGTTGTTCGCTAAGGCTCACAAGCTCTCCAGTGGCGAGGAAATGAGCTCCTTCAAGAGCTCCTGCGGTGCTGAACGCCCAGCAAGATCCACAACCGCCCTGTGTTGAATCGGTTCCAATTGAAAACCATCAGCAACGAAATCGATTCATCGAAACGGATCAGTTCTCTTTTTCTATTTTCCACGACCTAATTTTTTTTCTTGGAATCGGATTTGTACCTGGTCTTTGACCTTGCCAACGGCGCCGTGATCGCGCCAGTCGAAGTCGTCGGGGAGATCGCTGGTAGGGAGGATGGGAGCCTTGTTGGCGTCGGCCGGGAGGCCGAGCTTGTTCTTCGGCTTTCTCATGCCGAGGTACTGTCGGCGGAACTCCTTGGGGGTGAGGTCCATGAACTTGGTGACGCCGTGGACGGCGTCGGGATCCATGGCCTGGTGGCGCTTGGCGCGGCGGAGATTGGCCTTGAAGACGGTGAATCGGTAGTCATGCTCCTCCTGAGTCGCGTACGACTTGCCGAACTTGGACTTGAAGCTGGCGAAGTGGTGGTCGGCGTTCAAGAGCTGGTCCTCGATCCCGGACACGACCTGCCGGATAATCGGATCCTCCACGGCGGCGGTGACGGCGGAGATGAGGAGGACGGTGGTGATGGCGAGGAGAGAGAGTTTATCCATGGTTGCCGGGAGAGAGAGTGAGGAAATCAGAAATGTGTGGAGTGTGAGCCAGTGAGAGGAGGAAAGATGGACGGAAGATATTTGTAGAGTTTGCTATTCAGAGAATTCAGCGACGGACGGTGGTTGGTTTGGCATCAGCGAGTCTCGAGGCGACACGTGTTGCCTGATATTTCTGCAAGCAAGTGGGATTGGGAGCGGGGTGAAATTACTGGAAACACCCTGGGAGGAAAAGAAGGAAATTTGTACACGTAAGTGGAGCTCAGTGGATAGAGTGTGTGAGAAGGGACTTTACTACGTTGTCGTATTTATCGGCGACTACGACGGTTGGGCCCGGGCTTTGAATTTTCAGCGTGCACTAGGTCTTCGTGCCGGATACGATAAAAAAATGATTTTATTTGGGTTAAAGATATTTCGGGACGAGTTAAAAGTTGGGTAAATTATGTAAACAGTCACTTAATTCTTGGGTTACTGATAAGGTGGTCGTTCAATTAATATTTTTAGTAAATTCGTTGTTTTATCTTTGCACATATTATATTAAAAATTGAATGATCATTTTCGATCTAAATTTGTATTTAAAGTGGGCAAATCAACACAGCTCGTGACAGAATTGAAGAGTTGCAGGAAGAAAGCAGAAGAGAAGAGTTGCAGAAGTGCCAATCCAGATTGGGGAAGGATTCGCAATACAAAGGAAGAAGAAGAGAAGTAAAACGACTGTGTTTTGTTTTAAGCTGATGTGTTCTATGAGAACGACAGCGTTTGGTTTACTTTCCACTTAGCCGTTAAGTTCACTGTTTTGTTTAATTTGAACCAATCATGTATGGACAACTGTCATAGTTTGATTAATCAAATTCCAGCTATATAAGCTGAAGGAAGTCTCAGAGTGAGCTGAGCTTCTTCTCCACAATTCTGTTTTACAAATTGTTATGGTATCAGAGCTCAGCGAGCTCTAGGGTTTTTCCGCCGCCAACGACAGAATGTCGGGGACACAGACTCCACCTAACACATCGCCGAACAATGGCACCGGCGGCAGCACGTCGAGGACAACCACAGGTGCAGCAGGTTTCCGTTTTGGGACTTTCAACCAGAACCAGCTGCCAGTGCAGTCAATATCGCACATTAAAACGTAAAACTTACGTTTTTACGTATCTCGCCCACCAAAACATTTCAGTTTCTACCTAAAGTCGCTTAGTCTCAAAAACTGGTAAAAACATGGGTAAAATCGGTAAAATCGCTTAAAATGGGTAAAATCGCGATTCTGAAGCGTTTTTATACGATTTTGATCATCTCATAAAAATGTGCTAATTGGCCCAAAATGATGTAATTTTGGAGACATATCAGCAAAAAATAAAAACATGATTCATCACTCGTTCTACAACTAGTGTCGAGATAGGGGCTTCATATTAGGTTGAAAAGACACCTAATGGTATTCTCAACAGCCGCTGACCTTCTATCAGTCTTCTCCCTTAATCTTCACATGTGGCTCTTACTTGGGTTACGATAAAAGTTTATGGGTAATTGATCGTATGTAATTATGTAAACTGAAACCAGCTTATGAGAATTTGGATTCTCAAGCTCGTTTACGGGTTTCGATCTACGTTTATGAGCTTATTATTAAGATGTTATGAGTGTTCTCTACTTTTGAGTCAACACAAATTACTTTATGTGTTAGATATTACATTTTAATTATGAATTTCATGTAGTTATTCACTTATCTAAAATCTACACACTCACATTTTACATACTATATGTTGTACTTGATATATTTTAGTTATTTTAGAGGGTGCGTCAAAAACTTACGCTTTTACGCTTTGATTCTATGTTTTACGATTTTACCCACTTTTCGCTTCTAGGTAGAATCGCGCTTTTAACTGCATTGCCAGATGCAATCAGAGATAGTTGTTTTTAGTAACCCCTACTACCTCAACCCTAATGAGAATATGTCTCAATCCCTTGTTGCTGAGTCCTTTGATGGGACAAACTACGTGATTTGGAGTAGATCTATACAAGTAGTGTTGAAGACAAAGAACAAATTAGGATTCATTGATGTGTCAGTACCCATGCCTCCTCGTGAAGCAGATATGTTTAGTTTGTGGGATGCGTGTAATATTGTAGTCATTTGTTGGTTACAGAACTCGATGATTAAGGAAATTAGGAGGTCAGTGTTGAATCATACGAATGCTAGAGCTTTATGGGATGAATTGAAGAGGCGATTTGATCAACCTAATGCTCTTGGAATCTTGAACTTGGAAGATGAAATACAGGCATGGAAGCAGGGAACCAGATCTATAACTCGGTATTATACAGCTATCAAAGGGCTTTGGGACGAGTATGTGGAGTTTAGTCCAATTGTTCCATGTGCTTGTGCACCTGGGAATCCCATGCCATGTGCAGCTGTAGCTGCTTTCGTACAGAAGGAGGAGACTGATTATCTGGTTAGATTCCCGAGAGGACTCAACTCTGAGTATGATGTAATTAAAACACAGCTTCTCTTGCAAAAGCCACTGCCTAATGTGCCAACAGCAGTGGATGATCTGCTGCAACACGAGCAGAAGTTGAAAGCAGACAGTGTTGTGGGAGGAAAGAAAGGTCAAAGCCTGCTTTAGCTGTTGGTGGTAATAGTTCAAAGGAGAATACTGAAATTAGAGGAAGGAAGTTTTGTCGTTTTTGCAAGATGAACAATCACAATATTGAGGACTGTTGGAAGCTGAAAAGGAAGCAAGAAATGCAGAGAGAAGGTGGTGGTAATGGGGGTTCTTCTTCCAGTTCTGGCTCAAGTTCTAGCACACCAAGGTTTGCTGGTTCTATTTCTCAAGGTGGTGGGAATGAGAATGCATTAGAAGAGAGTGTAGTCAATGAGAGTAAGTCAGCTGCACCACTTGGATTCACAGCAGAAGAAATGACTCGCCTCATATATCTTTTGCAGACTGGTGCTAACACACAACCTTCCCCACCTACTTCCCCGTCCATCAATCACCAAGCCTATTCATCCACTCAATATCCTACTTCTTTTCCTCACTTCTCAGGTAAACATGTTCTATCCTCTTCCCAAAACTCTAAAACACAAGACTTGAACCTTTGGATAGTGGACACAGGAGCATCTGACCATATTGCATGTAGTCTCACTTTATTCTCCAGCTATACACCAATCCAGAATGCATTTGTTTATCTCCCTAATAGCACTAAGGTCACTGTCACATGCATAGGAACAATAAAATTTGATTGTGGATTAACCTTGCATGATGTCCTCTTAGTGCCACAGTTTTCCTTTCTTATTTATGTTAGCAAGCTTACCCTTGATAACCCTTTTTCCTTACACTTCCATTCTGATAAATGTGAAATCCAAGACCTCTTAAACCAGAAGAGGATTGTTTTAGCTCACACAACTAGAGGCCTCTATCATCTTGTCCTTCCTTCAAGACAACCCAAGCCTTCCACTTCATCAGTTCCTCAACACCAAGCAACCACCATTTTCAACTTCACTCCTCAAGACATGAACCTGTGGCACTAGAGACTAGGGCACCCAAGCCATGATAGACAGACTTTACTTAGCCGTGTAATTCCCTCAGTTGCTAGCACTAAGACCACTCACTGTGATGTGTGTCACTTGTCCAAACAACGCAAACTTCCATTTCATGTTAGCACCAGTATGGCACCTGAGGCATTTCATGTAGTACACATGGATATTTGGGGTCCTCTTTCTACAGTTTCCTATGATGGTTTCTCGTATTTTTAACTGTTGTGGATGATTACTCTCGCTGTGTGTGGGTGTATCTGATGAAACGCAAAAGTGAAGTAAGGGAGTTGATTAAGGGGTATTGCAACCTAGTTAAAACTCATTTCAATACATCTGTCAAAATAATTAGAACAGACCAGGGCAAAGAGTCTGAAATGTGTGAGTATTTCACTTCAGCAGGGATTGAACATCAAGTCTCCTGTGTTGAAAGTTGAAACTCCTGAACAAAATGGTAGGGTGGAGAGGAAACACCAGCACATCCTTAATGTTGCTAGGTGTTTGAAATTTCAGTCAGGGTTGCCTCTAACCTATTGGAGTGACTTCATCTTGCATGCTGTCTATCTGATAAACCACATGCCAACCCCTATCTTACAAAACAAAACACCCTATGAAGTACTACACAAGCAAGTGCCATTTTTGGGGCATTTGAAAGTATTTGGATGCTTCTGCTATGCTAATACCCTGGTTCATGGCTGAACAAAATTTGCTCCACGTGCTAAACAGTGTGCATTCATAGGAATTCCCTCAGGTCTTAAAGGGTACAAGGTTCTGGACATTCATACCAAACAAGTGTTTTGCTCCATAAATGTCTCATTCTATGAAAATATTATTCCTTTCAAATCTCAGCACACATCCTTTCCCCAAACTCCTCTCCCCAATTCCAACTCCTCTGCTCCAACTCCTGCCACAGCCCCATCCCTCACACTCCCCTTCTCTCTTGATGCATCTCCTGCTCAGTTTCATTCATCCACAGATGAAGGGGGCAACCTGAGCATGAGATGTCTCCTGTCCCAAGTACTGAAGTAAGGAATGACCACTATACTTACTTTGACTCTGATGAGTAAGAACTTCATCCTCAAGCTGATGTTGACCCTGATGATCCCAGAACATAAGTGAACAAAAGGCATCCCAGGAACATAAAACTGCCAACTAAGTATGGAGATTATGAACTGGATTCTTCTCTCAAGTTTGGATCATTTGGTGGTGCTAATTCTTGCAACAGGTACCCTGTTTGTTTGAATGTCAATGCTTTAAGCAAAGAAGATAGATGTAATGCACTGAATGTCATGAATCTATTGGAGCCTAAGTCCTACTATGAAGCAGTAAAGTCAAATGTCTTAAATAGGGCTATGAAGGATGAAATGTATGCTTTATAAGATAATCAAACCTGGGATATAGTCCCATTACCACCAAGAGTTAAAGAGATAGGGAACAAGTGGGTTTATAAAATTAAGCTCCATCAGGATGGTTCACTAGAGAGAAACAAAGCCAGGTTGGTAGCTAAGGGGTATACACAGGTCTATGGCATTGACTTTTTAGACACATACTCACCTGTAGCTAAGATCAACACTGTAAAAACTTTCCTAGCTGTGGCAAGTGTGAAGCACTGGGTGCTGTAGCAGTTGGATGTATACAATGCTTTCTTACATGGGGATTTAGAGGAGGTAGTCTATATGAAATTGCCTCTGGGATTGGAAGTGCCATCATGGAGCAATCAGAAAATGACTTGTAGATTGAAGAAGTCATTATATGGCCTAAAGCAGGCATCAAGACAATGGTTTGCAAAATTGACAGGTTTCCTATTGAAGTTTGGATTCTCACAATTTGCATCAGACTATTCCCTTTTCACTAAGTGGACTCGTGGTAAGATCACAGTACTATTGGTTTATGTTGATGACATCATCTTGGGAGGAGACTCAAGGAAAGACATTGAGCAGGTTAAAGTAGCCATAAGTAAGGAGTTTAATATTAAAATCCTTGGACCACTGAAGTACTTTTTGGGTTTATGACTCGCTATGACACAACTCCTAACAATGGCCAAGTGTAACCAATGGAAGGGACTGCAATATAGTGGCTCAAGTAATAAATATCGAATCCACGGGTCTCTAGAGTTACTATTACTCATCTCCTGTTCATTATCTAGCAAACCATATTAAGATGTAAGAATTAAAACTACTCTAACAAACTACAGTTAAAGTTAATCTAATTACAGGTTGGGAACTCACTTAGGTATGATTCCCCCTAGCCACTAGCCAGATTAATGATTGATGATCTAACATGTTTCACTTTCATTCACAATGCGGAGAATCCTTAACTAGACCTTGAGTCTCGACTAAAGGAACAAGGCCCTCTTGAGTCAATTGCCTAGAGGGACGTATCCTTCTCTAGAACAACCGGTCAAGGCGTTCTGAACTAGACTCCCTCTATCAAAAGAAGTTCTCAATCAATACAAAGCAGTGAATCGACCCTCGACTAAAGCAATCGATTACTACCAATCTATGGTGCTCTATTGACCTAATTAGGTATTCGCTCTCATAGGATCAAAGCATAATCAATAATCTCGACTAAAGCAGAATTGAATCATGAAAACATGCATAGATTGAATATGAACTCAAGGTTATCAAGTCAGAATACTCATACAATCATCCAATCAAACAAACATAGCTAGGGTTCCTCAAAACCTAAGTGAAGGGAAGTTACTCCATAGAGAAGAGAGAGACTGCAGTAAGAATCTTCAGATGATCAGTCTTCAAGTCCGAGCTTGTTCCTCGAGCTTCCAAGGCAAAGAAATCCTCCAATTCCACTCCAAGAATGCCCTCAAATCGCCCTCTCTCTGGTTTGTCCCTTGGGTGTTTGGGATCCAAAACCCAGCTCTACCTCTCCTTTGGCTCGAAATTGGCTTTAAAAACCCGATTCTGGGCAAAACACTGTCAAGGACACGGCCGTGTTTTGCTTTTGCCCGCCCGTGTTTTGCCCCGTGTTAAAAACACGTCCGCGCGCCTCGGCCAAACACGGTCGTGCCTAAATATGGACACGGCCATGTTTTGATTTAGGCGCGCCCGTGTTTTTACTGCCGAACCTGTTCCCCTATATTCAATGCTTCGTTTCTCCCTCGTCCGGACTCCGAATCAGTCGTTGTTTGATCCCAGACGCTCGTAGTCTCGTCCTCTTCTTTTCATTACAAGCTTGCATGATTATTTGTCCATAAAGTGAGGTATAAATCCATTCTTCTTCAGGTCATGCCCGAGTTTCTTCTCCCTAATCGCCAATTGATCTCTGATTAACTTGAAACTTGCGCCTATGCTTCACTTTATGTGATAGGACTTGAAATGTGACAAAGGAACACAACCTAGCGTAAAATAGGCCAAAGACGCGATAATTAAAGCTTAAACGATCAAGAAACAAAGGGGAAAACATGTGCAAATATCGAGTCATCAGTTTAGAAGTAAGCAGAACTGAGAATGGATTAGATGTATGTCTGATAGACCGTTAATTACACATGTTTTCACCCCTGTTCTTACACCGTTTAAGATGTGGTCTCTCGTGTTTTAGACCAATTTCACGCTAGGTTGTGCTTGTTTGTGATATTTCAGGTCCTGGCAAGTGAATGAAGGTTTAGGAGCGAGTTCGGGGTCGATTGGGCGAAGATCGGGCGCGAGGCAAGTCACAAAGGAAGTCGCACGGGCGCGAGGCAACTGGGTGAGCTGCACGGCCGTGCGGCCTGCCCGTGCGAGTCGGGATTTTCTGCTTTTAAGCAGATTTTCAGCCACAAGTCGGGGGGATTCGAGTTTTAGAGAGACAGAGCGATTCCTAGAGAGAGAAAGCGACGAACAAGAGTCTCCAAGTGCCCTAGCTTGATCTTCATCACCATTGGAGGTCAGTTTGAGCTTGGAGAAGTGCCAATCAACGTCCAGGAGCAGGAATCCATCCTTCACAGTATGAATTCCGCGTCTGATTCTGCTTTTGCTTCTTTCTCCATGGAGTAGTTCTCCCATACATCTGGGTATGGAGAACCCTAGATTTGTATGTTAGGTTTGATTGTATGAACCCAAGTACTGATTCTATGATTTGATTATATTCGATTGAGGTTTGAATGATTGAATGACTTGAATCCTGATCAAATTCCTGTTGTTTCTGCTTTAACCTAGAATGAGAATATCTGCCTAGGTTGATAGAGCGTCCTTGATTGAAGGTAGGGAGTTGGTGACTTTAGTCGAGGAGCCAACTCACTATTCTGTACCGGTTTTACTCCGGTAGTGGAGGTTTTGTTTGTTAAGGCCTCAATCTGTTTACTCCGGTGGAGGTTAGTCGCCCGCTAGAGACTCAGATTGAGAGGGTCTGAAGACCTTTAGTCGAGACTTCAGGCTGTTTAAGAACCTTCCGTAGTATAACTATCATAGAAACTGAACTTGGTAATTACAATCCGGCTTAACTACAGTTTAGGGGGAACCATATCCGGGTGACCTCTCTTAACCTGAATACAACTGTTTACTTGCTTTGTTTTGTTTGTTAGTTTAGACTTGCATTAAAGTTTCATTGCTAGATAACAAGAATTCACTGAGTAGTCATCAAATCTAGGACCCGGGTTGATAATTAAACCCAAACCCGCTATACTACGCTTTAGGAAGTGGTTTCACTTGGCCAATTCCTGGAGTGACAGTAGAAGTGAGTCAAGTTTTTGGCGCCGTTGCCGGGGACGGTTAGGTTGTTGAAGAAAAGTGATTTCTGTTAATTTAGCTTTTCTTTTTGCTTTGTTTGCTTTGTCCCACTTGTGCCTTCACGGGTTTGCTTGCTTGAGTGTGTGCAGGTAGTGCATGACCCATAGCCAGTTAGGAGGTTTACTGCCGTTGAATCCAGAGATTGACCGCACCTGTCTCCAGCTCAGGAGACAACAGCGAGCTAGACTGGCTACGGAAGAGCGCATAGACGGCCACCTGAGTAGCGATTCTGAAGAAGAGTACGGGATGGACGGAGACTACAATCAGCACCAGGGGAATCCTCAGCAGGCTCCCCCGGTGAATCAGGTCCTGGGGAACAACCCCATACCCCAGGATCATGGGGTTCATCATCATCACCCGCCGCCGGTTCCCACCTTGGAGTACTACTACACTCCACGGATTGCTGACATCCGCCCGGTCATCCTCTACCCGCCTATTCCAGCAAACAACTTCGAGATCAAGCCATGCTGGATTCAGCTCATTACATCTTCTATCCAGTTCCATGGCTTGAAGGATGAGGAGGCCAGGGTGCATCTTTCCCGTTTTCTGCAGCTGACGAACGGTTCAAGCTGAATGGTGTTCCTGATGATGCAATCCGCCTTCACCTTTTCCCCCATTCTCTGGCGGGGAATGCTAAGAGGTGGTTGGAGACCCAGCCCCCATTGTCCATCACCTCTTGGGACGATCTGGCTGACAAATTCGTGCACAGGTACTATCCGGCATCGAAGACAACAGAGATCCAGCGGGAGATCACTCACTTCCGCCAAGAGCCAGATGAGTCACTTCGTGATGCATGGGAGCGGTACATGGGATACTTCTGGCAGTGTCCCCATCATGGCTTTAGTGATGCTTTCACAGTGGGGAACTTCTACAGTGCTCTCTCCCCAGATAGCCAGAGGGTGATTGAGTCTCTATGCCCAGGAGGGGATATTCTTACTAAGACTCCACCCGAGCTGAACCAGATGATCAATACCTTGGCTGCCAGAGATCATTCTTGGGGACAAAGTAGTAGAGGCAGACATTCCCAGGACCGTGGTGTGCACGCCATGGAGACCAGATCCGGGCTCGAGCAGCAGGTAGCTGAGCTAGTGCAGACATTGAAGCAGCCCAACAGTCTTATTCCGGGCAGAGGTTTGGCTACACCTCCAGTTGCTCAATGTCAGTGGTGTGAGAGCTCGAACCACTTAGTGGAAGACTGCCAGGCTATGAGGGAGTCTACTACTCCCCAAGAGCAGTTGGACTTCATCGCCAATGCTCGGCGCCTCGACCCGTACAGCAACACCTATAATGAGGGGTGGCGCCAGCATCCCAACTTCTCTTGGGGCAGCAACACCACTAAGCCACCTGGTTTCCCAGCACCAGCAGGTGGTTTTCAGTAGAGGCAGCCCTTCCAGGCTCGACAGGGGCCAGCCCCACAGCAGCAGCCCTACCAGCCTAGGCAGGGGCAACCATTCCAGCAGCCCCAGCGCCAGTTCGCCGAGCCAGCAGCAGCTCCGGCCCCAGATGACCGGATGACAAAGCTGGAAAATATTCTAGCTTCATTCATGACTAGCACTCAGGCTGCTATCACGTCACTGGAGGCAGGTCAGCGGAACCAGGGTGCCATTTTGCAAGATCTGCAGACCCAGGTGGGTATCTTGGCCCGCCAAAACACTACCAGGGCACCGGGGACTCTACCTGCCACCACTATTCCGAATCCTCGGGATCCTCACCAGCTCTAGCAGTTGGATGCCATTTTTACCAGGAGCGGTAAGACCATATCTGCTGGTCCTATTCCGGCCAGACAGGAGGAACCACTACCTGCTTCAGCACTTCCAGCCGACAATGCAGAAGTGCGGGTGGAGAAGGAAGCCCCTGCTCCCAAGCCACAACCAGTGGTTAAGGAGCATATGCCCCAGCTTCCCTTCCCCACTCGCCTACACAAAGACAAGCTGGAGACTGAGTTTGCCAAGTTTATGGCAATGTTGAAGCAGCTCAACATCAGCATACCGTTCGTGGAGGCACTGTCGAAGATGCCCAAGTATGCCAAGTTCATGAAAGACCTCCTCACCGACAAGAAGAAACTTGGGGATCTTTCGACAGTGATGCTTAGTGAGGAGTGTTCTGCTATCCTGCAGAACAAGCTGCCCGAAAAGCGCAAGGATCCAGGGAGTTTTACTATCCCTCTTACTATTGGCAGCATGCATGCAGGCAAGTCCTTGGCGGATCTAGGCGCTAGCATAAATGTCATGCCATATAAGTTGTATAAAAAGCTAGACCTAGGTGAACTTAGCCCTACTAGGATGAGCATTCAGCTAGCTGATCGTTCCATTGTGCATCCTAGGGGAATCATAGAGGATCTGCTTGTCAAGGTCGGTGCATTCACATATCCTGTTGATTTTGTTATTCTGGATATACATGAGGATGTGGATGTGCCTTTGATTCTGGGGAGACCATTTCTTGCCACCGCCAAGGCACTTATTGATGTGCATGATGGTAAACTGATCCTGCGTGCTGGGAATGAACATGCTACTTTTTCTGTGACTGAATTTGATCACTGTGCTATGATTGTTGTCACGCTTGTATAGGCCATTTCTGATCAGGTACACGAGCATGTCGTGTATCCTTCTGCACCTCTTATTTTGCAGGACCCTTCTATCATTCCTTCGCCGCCACTCCATCCAGCCTCGCCTCCGAACAAAAAGCTCAAGGAGGAGTGGCGGCCGAAGCAGCAGGTTGCCAAGCCTGCACGGAAGAAGAGTGGAGACCACTATGAGCTGGTCCCACCTCCTGCACCACGACCACCCTGGCCGTCCGGGTACTCACTCGCCTGCATCTTACCGGATGGCCAGGTCGAGCTGACCGATGATGGTGGTCGCATCCGTCGGGTGCATGGCCACAACCTGAAGCTGTACCTCAAGAGCGACGTGGATCCGCTCTTGGAGGCACCTGTTCCTGCACCTCCCTGAGTATCCACCATGGGCGTCTAGCTAAAAGACGGTAAAGAAGCGCTTGTGGGGAGGCAACCCCACCACGGTTTGATTTTCTTTCTTGTGTTTTGAGTCGGATTGTAAACCAGTTGGTTTTGGTGTTTTCTTCTGTTTTGGATGATGTTTTATTGGGCTGACCATTGGACCTAACATATTGTGTTTGAGCTCTTTGGTTTCCTTTGGCTGTGCTTGTCTTGACTGGTACTCTCTCCAGTCCGCTTCCAGTCTCCTGCAGTCCGTGCATACCGGTAACATCGTTCCCCTTTTCCTTCCCTCTTCTCCATTGAGGGCAATGTCGATCTTAAGTGTGTGGGGGGGGGGGGGGGGGGTGTTTATCTTTTGACTGCATTAGATCTGTTTGTGTGCTTGGAGCCTAGTCCACTGTCCAAATTTTTAAATTTGAGGGCTCCAAGTACGTGTTTCCATGCAATTGCCTGCTCAGTGTGCTTTGAATTGACAGTCTTTATAGTAATATGCAACCTAGGGAGGTAGTGTAGCACTATGGAGGATGTTGATGCATTTAAGAAGTCTCATTTCTTCTTCATATGGTGTTGGTTGATTGAGTGAATTAGTGATCTTAGGACCCTTGAATTGCGTGGTATTGTGGATTCTCTACCTGTCATGGACTCTTGTATCATGTCTTGAAAATAACAGGTGCTCGAAAATGTGCTTTAGAATAACGTCTCCCGTGCGAATAGGGCGAAAGTGTGTAAGGGGAGACGGGAATTCGTTCCCAATTTCCACCTACTACCTCCAGCCCCCTTACATGTCTTTCCCCCGCACGAGGCTCGAGACATCCGCTCCTGGCATGGCTGGTAAGAGCAGGTTGGGACTCTTGAAAAAAAAGTAAAGAAAAAATAACAGAAAACAAGCAAAACAGAAAGAAAAGGGGTTCCAACCATCTTCAAAGAAAATAGAGCACCTTGAAAAATGTGAGTCCATGATCCTTTGTTTTTTAGAATCTCTTCATCCACAATTCATTTGTCCTCTGTTCACTATTTTCCATGATGCCGACTCGATATTAGTGCTCTCGCCGAAGAAGCTTTGAGATGACTTGTGTAACATCCCGTTTCGGCTAAAATCGTATTTCGATCGCTAGAAAGTTCGCGATTTAAAATCGAGCATTTCGACACTATTTCGACGAAAATCGGATTATCGATCGATCGGATAAGTATACGTATTAAATATATATATTATATAATATATATAATCGGCCGAGGCCATATATATTAAAACTTCCTCTTTTCCCGTCATTATCTTTCCATCATCATTTCATTACCGAGAGAAGAAGGAATCGAACGCAGAACAGGGGAGCTCGGGGGAAATTTTCATAGCTCGATTCTTGAGCTCTACTGATCCAAAAATCCCGTAAGTAATGCCTAATCCATCCATTCATCGTAGTTTATCGATTTAGAGCTTTAAAACGAGTTTTTGGTTCAGGAATTTCTTGAATTCCCGATAAGCCAAATTAGGGTTTCGGAGTATCCGGAAGCCGGATTGAGCCCAAATTTCATATACGAGCTTCCTGCAGCGAGGTAATCAATCCTCTAATTCTAATCCCTGAATTTCGGCAATTATTTAGGCCGGGGTCCGAACCGCTGAATTTAGCTCCGGCCAGGGTTTGATATGTTTTTATCAAGAATTTGACCCGAAGCCTAGAACTAATATTTACGGGGATACTGCAGGGGATATTAGGACGGTCTCGGATTTTAATTCGGGGTTCGTTCGTGAAAGTGACGTTTTAGTACGGGAAGGTTAAGCCGGTGTTTGAACGGCCAGAACTGGTGAGGGATTAGCACGGCATACCGGGTTTGTCGTATCACGATAATTATATTGATGCTTAGAATTGATCTAGGTGAACTAGAATGGCATGATTAGGGGTGTATGAGCTTTTGTGCTATATGTTGAACCCTGGATTGCTGTATGATATTATTGACTTGCCCTAATCGATATGAACCTTGTTTATGCTGATGATTGTGTATATGTTGCAAATTGTGGGCTTGACTGTTAATATGCTTTACGATGGTTCGAGAAGGTGATTAGGTATGATTTTTCATGATTGTTGTTTTTGGATGCACAAGTGGGAAAATATATATTCCCTGGTGATATTATGATGTTTAAGGAGGATGACTTGCACGAGGGTTTATCCTGAGGAAGTGCAATTATACGACTCCTGATTTACCTATGTCGAGCCAATTATGGCCAGGTCAACTACATGTGCAAGTAATGAATTATGATTAAGCAAGATGAGATATGAATCATGTATAAGGATACCAAATATGAGTGTTGTGGTCTCACGGTCAACTACATAGTAATTAGGGCTCCCTATGCTATTACTCTATTATGATATGTATGATAGTCACACCTCTCATGTGGTAGTGACTAAAGAATTCTTATAAGATATGACCACACCCAGAGCGGTGTCGGGGTATGACTACACCCATAGTGGTGTGGGGTATGTATGACTACATCCGACGGGATGTGGGGTATGTTTCCCGGGAGAGTTATTAGCATGGGAGTAGCCAGGCGCCTATGATTAAAACATGATAAGATGCATATGCATAAGTCAAGGTGGTTGAGTCTTTTGCCTATTGGGATGTCGGAGGGCTGAGATCTGATCCTAGTGCTTTGGCTTGTTTGCTAGATGTATGGTAGTGGTATGCTATGTTATGAACTCACAATGCTATGATTATCTCACTCAGCTATGAGCTGACCCTCTTTATTCTTCTTCTCTGCTTATGCTATGTGTAAGCATATCATCAGCAGCAGCAGTAGATAGGTGTATAGGTGGGAGCTGAGCAAGAGTTGAAGGCAAGATGAGGTATGGTCTTCAACTACTCTGTGCTTGGAATACTACTCGGGATTTTGGCCAGTGATCCACACCTTTTTGTAAAAATGTTTTGAGAACGTTTTTCATGTGCATACTAGCTTCTGATGTAGTGTGAGATATCCACAGATGTGGAAAGTTGATGATATGTGTATATGTTGTGTAACTGTGTAAGTTGTGACGATTATGGTATGTATAAGTTTGGTATGCAGTTGTGTAGTATGAAACTGTGACTATGGCTATGAAAGTCCATGTATATGGTTGTTAGTATATGTTTGTCATTGAATGCATGGATTCAGATAAATTATTTTGCAGGTTTTAGTTACAAGAACTGTTAGCCCATTACGCGAGTAATTCATGTCGAAATTTTATTTAGGTAAATTTTGATAATTAATGTAACACCCGAGATTAATTCCGCTGCAATCGTATGAACAATATGATTAGGCAAAACGTATAGGGTAGGGTGTTACAACTTGTGCGTCGGTTGACCTCGTAAGCTGCTAAATGATTTAGGAAGTCCTCTACCTACGAGCTGGGTTGTTTGTTGCTATAGAGGTCTGGAGAGTTGCATTGGTTTGAGTTAGGTTTGCTTGGGGACAAGCAAACGGTTAAGTGTGGGGGAGTTTGATAGACCGTTAATTACACATGTTTTCACCCCTGTTCTTACACCGTTTAAGATGTGGTCTCTCGTGTTTTAGACCGATTTCACGCTAGGTTGTGCTTGTTTGTGATATTTCAGGTCCTGGCAAGTGAATGAAGGTTTAGGAGCGAGTTCGGGGTCGATTGGGCGAAGATCGGGCGCGAGGCAAGTCACAAAGGAAGTCGCACGGGCACACCCACAACCCGCACGGCCGTGCAAGTGACCATTTTGGCCGTGTGGGATTGTGCGAGAGCAAACACGGGCAGAGCAGAAAATCCACACGGCCGTGCAAGGTGAGCTGCACGGCCGTGCGACCCTGGCCGTGTAAGAAGCCTGGAATTCAACTAATTGATACGCTGCGTTTTGACTCGCACGGGCAACTGGGTGAGCTGCACGGCCGTGCGGCCTGCCCGTGCGAGTCGGGATTTTCGACTTTTAAGCAGATTTTCAGCCACAAGTCGGGGGGATTCGAGTTTTAGAGAGACAGAGAGATTCCTAGAGAGAGAAAGCGACGAACAAGAGTCTCCAAGTGCCCTAGCTTGATCTTCATCACCATTGGAGGTCAGTTTGAGCTTGGAGAAGTGCCGATCAACGTCCAGGAGCAGGAATCCATCCTTCACAGTATGAATTTCGCGTCTGATTCTGCTTTTGCTTCTTTCTCCATGGAGTAGTTCTCCCATTCATCTGGGTATGGAGAACCCTAGATTTGTATGTTAGGTTTGATTGTATAAACCCAAGTACTGATTCTATGATTTGATTATATTCGATTGAGGTTTGAATGATTGAATGACTTGAATCCTGATCAAATTCCTGTTGTTTCTGCTTTAACCTAGAATGAGAATATCTGCCTAGGTTGATAGAGCGTCCTTGATTGAAGGTAGGGAGTTGGTGACTTTAGTCGAGGAGCCAACTCACTATTCTGTACCGGTTTTACTCCGGTAGTGGAGGTTTTGTTTGTTAAGCCTCAATCTGTTTACTCCGGTGGAGGTTAGTCGCCCGCTAAGAGACTCGGATTGAGAGGGTCTGAAGACCTTTAGTCGAGACTTCAGGTTGTTTAAGAACCTTCCGCAGTATAACTATCATAGAAACTGAACTTGGTAATTACAATCCAGCTTAATTGCAGTCTAGGGGGAACCATATCCGGGTGACCTCTCTTAACCTGAATACAACTGTTTACTTGCTTTGTTAGTTTGTTAGTTTAGACTTGCATTAAAGTTTCATTGCTAGATAACAAGAATTCACTGAGTAGTCATCAAATGTATGACCCGGGTTGATAATTAAACCCAAACCTGCTATACTACGCTTTAGGAAGTGGTTTCACTTGGCCAATTCCTGGAGTGACAGTAGAAGTGAGTCAATGTCAAAGGAAATACTGTATTGAGTTGTTGAAGGACACATGATACCTGGAGTCTAAGGGATGTAAGACACCAATTGACACAAAGGTGAAACTATCATCACAGGGCACTTTGTTAGAAGATGCAGAAGGCTATAGCGTTTGGTTGGGAGGCTGCATTATTTAACCATCACCAGACCTGACATAGCATTTGCTGTCCAGCAGCTATGTCAGTATAAAAAAACCCCTTGTGCAGAACATGCAAGCAGCTTACAGAGTGCTCAGGTATTTGAAGTCTTCACCTGATCAGGGGATTCATTTTAGCAATGAGGCTGAGTTAAAGTTGACTGGTTATAGTGACTCAGACTGGGCAAGCTTCCCTGACACTAGAAGATCCATTACTGGATATTGCACTATGCTTGGTTCTTCCTTGGTAACTTGGAAATGAAGAAACATACCACTGTCTCAAGATCTTCTTCTGAGGCAGAATATAGAGCCTTAGCTCATCTTGTGTGTGAAGTTGAATGGATGAAGAGACTGTTGAGTGAATTGATAGTAGAAGTGCATCTACCTATCACAGTATATTGTGACAACAAGTCTGCTATACACATAGCAGAGAATCCTGTCTTCCATGAGAGGACCAAGCATATCGAAATTGATATGCATGTCACAAGGGGGAGGATCAAGATTGGTTTGATTAATTTGAAGTACATTAACACTGTTGAACAACTTGCAGACATCTTCACTAAGGGGCTGGATCGCTTCAGGCTGAAGGAGTTGCTTGTCAAGTTGGGGATCAAGCCGATACCGCCAATTTGAGGGGGGCTGACAGAATTGAAGAGTTGCAGGAAGAAAGCATAAGAGAAGAGTTGCAGAAGTGCCAATCCAGATTGGGGAAGGATTCGCAATACAAAGGAAGAAGAAGAGAAGTAAAACGATTGTGTTTTGTTTTAAGCTGATGTGTTCTATGAGAGCGGCAGCGTTTGGTTTACTTTCCACTTAGCCGTTAAGTTCACTGTTTTGTTTAATTTGAACCAATCCTGTATGGACAACTGTCGTAGTTTGATTAATCAAATTCCAGCTATATAAGCTGAAGGAAGTCTCAGAGTGAGCTGAGCTTCTTCTCCACAATTCTGTTTTACAAATTGTTAGCTCGATTAATGGAGGGAGGAAATATGGATCTTGACACATAAACTTTGTAGTGAGTTGATTATGGTCGGCTAATTATGACTCGGCCAAACTTCCACATGCACTAATAAAGGATTGTGAAATCATATCGGAGTTTATACCGAAAAAAGTTAGAGATTGATGTTTTGTAGTACTACAATTAGGGTTGCAAATGAGTCGAGCTGCTCATGAGCGGCTCGACGTTCGACTCGGGAAAAACTCATTCGAAACTCGGCCCGTTTATAGATGAGCTGAGCTTGAGCTAAGCCTTCTGCACCTTGTGGAGACCGTGAACTAGCTTGACTCGGTGGCTTGTTGAGCTCAACTCGTGAACTGGCTCGTTTAGAGCTCATGAGATGTCTCAACTCTCAATATTGTGGCTAGAGAGCCAACTCGATTACCGACTTATGAGCTAATCGATCTATATGATTTTGATATTGATAATTCATCGTATTGTTAAATAATATATCTCACCTTTTATAAAGTTTAACACGTAGATTATGTGAGAAAATATATCTTATTTAATTTTAAAAAATAAATTATGCATTATATATTGCTTCGATACTTTGAAATAATATAACTTTGGCAACTAAATAATATGATATCACAAAGTATAACATGAGATTAGTTAATTTTGAACATTTAACTATCATTATTATTGTTATCATCTTGATATTAATCACATGTATCACAATGATATACAAAATGAATATATCAAATAAGAGTCAAGATTTTAGTAACCAAACTAGCTCGAACTCGAGTTTATTAACGAGCCGAGCTCAAGCTGTGGTAAAACTCGGCTTGACTCTGCTCATTTGCCGTCCTAACTACAATTGTAGTTAAACAGTTTCCTATCGTTAAAATTGTCTACCGATTTGGGTGTTGGTCCCTGGTATTTCCGATTGAACCAAACAGGACGGTAGAGTTTCTAAAACATTGGACTAACCTGACTGCACTCGAACCACATTTTGCTTCTTCCAATATTTGAACACCCTTGTATACTTGTGGCGAGCATCAAGCGACAAGCTCCCTGGTTGGCGTCATAGGTAACACCTTTAGCCAGTGCCTTATTATGTAGTCTGTTTGCGGTAGATTTAGTAACACCCTCAACAATTGCCTCACAAGCTGAACTCACCTATAGATTAATATTATATTTTTAAAAGTTCGCCGATCATCTTGGATGGAGCCCTATGTACCCCTAGTTGCCCCCCAGTTTGTGGTGCGCTTAGCTGACGCGGTGCCAGCTTCATGGATTTTGCCCCCCCCCCCAGTTAGTGGATTTTATTAACGCATTGAGCGCTCTTTAGTTGAAATTCTTCATTGCACCGAGAAATTGCTTGTTGGAGATTCTTCAAGCGAACACAAGTGTGCCCTCTTTCATTGGTGCGCTTGTGATAGCCACACGATTAATTAACGGGGTTACCGTGCACGGTTATTGCCCTTTATTGGAGATAGAGGTAGTTGAACGCACTCATATTGGAGATTTACCAATGCTCTTATCGAAGTCTTATTTGTGTGATTCCGTCGAGTCTTACATTAATGGAGGTAGTTGACGCTCCCATATTGTAGATTCACCAATGCTCTTATCGAAGTCTTATTTGTGTGCTTACTATTGAGTCTTACATGAATGGAGGTAGTCGAGCGCTCCCATATTGTAGATTTACCAATTCTCTTATCGAAGTCTTATTTGTGTGCTTACAATTGAGTTTTACATGAACGGAGGTAGTCGAGTGCTCTCATATTGTAGATTCACCAATGCACTTATCGAAGTCTTATTTTTGTGCTTACTACTGAGTCTTACACGAACGGAGGTGGTTGAGCGCTCCCATATTGTAGATTTTTTCAAGGCGTCGTACGCTCTCCTCGTCGGGGTCTATGTACCCTCAGTTTGGAGTCTTCAAGGTGTTGAACACTTGGTGACGGCATTATTAGCCCTCACCCATTGTAGATTCTTCAAGGCGTTGACTAGTCGAGGCGTGAGCCATGATTAATAGCCCTCACTCATTGTAGATTCTTCATGGCATTGACTAGTCGAAGCGCGAGCCGTGATTATTAGCCCTCGCCCATTGTAGATTCTTCATTGCGTTGACTAGTCGAGGCGCGCACCATGATCATATCCATATGTCGCGTGATTGTGTTTCTCATCTCCCATGTTGTTTGGTACGTCTTTCCCCCATTAGAGCCATTAACACTCATGAAAGTAAAATATTTAAAATTTTAATAATGATAATGGGATAGAGTACTTAGCTTTATGTTGGCGAAGCGGCGGGAAGAGTCTTTAAAATAAGAGTGTTGCGCCTAATGATATGTGGGTATGTAGTCTATTGGTCAAGATACTTGTTTGGTTAAGGAGTGGTGCGGTTCAAATACTGGCGGCGACGATAGTTTGGGGCCAATCCGCGAGTTGGTACCTTCGCGTGGTCCGTGAAGCAAAACTTGAGTCGGAGCGGGACCGGTAGCATGATGTTGGGCTGTGAGTGAGCTTGGATGCCATACATGGGCTTGGCGTCGCGGGCGTGCCTCGTTGGGCCGCAAGTTGATGGTGCACAAAGCGTGACGCATCAGTATGGTTTGGGCTGCGCATTGTGGCGAGCTTAGGACTTGGCGTTGCGGGCGGGCTTATGTGAGGGCCGAATGGTGGCAAATGATGTCAAGCGGGCCGAGAGTAAGTGACACGACCTGGATCCAGAGCAGGATTGGAGATATTAAGGAGTGAGTAGGGTCGGTTCGCGTTGTAGAGTTTAGGAGGCGTGTTGACCACCACCTAGGCAGGCTTAGTGTGAGGTGGGCCAGACGAGAAATGAGCCGCGAGTCAGTGACGCTGCGTGGATCTAAAGCGCACCTGGAATAACATCATACTTTGGCGTTGTGGATGCATAAGTGATCCTTTAGTGCGATGGTTTGCAAGCTAATATATGGTTGCACGGATGCTGGTTCAAGACAATGGTGGCAGCGAAATAATTTTTACTTGTTGTTGACACTTAAATGTGAGGCGACGTGGGCCGTGCGAGTTTTGAGGTGGAAGGCTGGCAGGGGCGCGGTGCGAAATGGCTTATGGAGGCGGGCACATTTGGGCGGGGATGGGATTGATGCGTGCCCAATTGGCATAGGAGCTGGCTGCGAGTTGGTGAAGCGGTGCAGGTTGGTGTCCGTCGTGGCGGCCTTGGTGTGTGGAGGGCCTCGAGTTGCGATGTTGGCTGACTGGTTAATAGTGGGACTTGACTCGCAATCCATTCGTCTGATCTCGTTAGGAGGAAAGGAATCTGTGGAAAGTCGGGGATGCCCCCCGGGTTAAGCTCCGACGATCAAGTCAATTTATGTTTAAGTGAGTTGAGAGAATAATGTAGAGAGATAATCAAAGGTGAAAAGTGAGGAAAGAGAAGAAGAAGAGCCCCCTCCTTTGAAGACTTGAACACCTTGATATACTTATGTCGAGAATCAAGCGTCAAACTCCTTGGTTGGCGTCACAGGTAACACCTTTAGCCGGTGCCTTTGTACTTAGGTTGTTTGCGGTAGATTTAGTAACACCCCAAAAAAAAAAATGGGCATGATATTTAGCTTCCAAAAACTAGGCTTTGAGCCATAGAGGTGACAAGAAGGACGTGTGATAAGCAAATGGTGCGAAAACTTAGCTTCCAAAAACTATTGGAGCCTCGACGACGGAGACTTGTAAGGCAAGGTACCAAACCGACAAGATAGACACGCTAACAAGTTGACAAGGCGGTACGATCTACCAATAATACTGGTTTGATGATAAGCTCGCATGTACCAAACTGATGAGGCAGAATTTGTCACAAACTGGAAAGCTGAGCTTGGTGCTAAGTCATATAAGTGACAAGTTGACGACCATGTTGAGCTCAAATCTTGATGGTAAGGGGCAATGTTCTTAACTAGGAGGGGTTAAGTTCTTATCTCATCAACCAATGCTTAAGATAACAAGGTAGTTTCAATAAGAGACCAGTAAGACGAGAGTAGAGGATAGTAAGTGTGGAGTCACCCGACCCATAAAAGAGGCACGGTGACAAAGGCAATGTGATAGAGGCAAGACGGTTGAAGTTTAACTTAACACCAACCGGCCCAACGTCGTGGCCTCCAAACTGACACCACCAGGTCACCAAGGCGGTGATGAGGATCCCCGAGACAGTTAAAGCGGTGGAAAGGCTAGCAGTTACCAAGGGGTGATGAAGGCCCCGACCCAACTCCGAGGCCACCAGTCTAACTCCGAGGCCACTCCAACAGGTCACATGGGTGGTAATGAGGGTCCCTGAGGCGGTTAGAGTGGTGGAAAACCTAGTAGTTACCAAGGTGGTGATGAAGACCCCGATACCGTTGGAGCAACCGACAAGCTAGTGGTTACTAAGGTGGTTACACCTAATGACTATAAATAAGAGAAACGAATATGAAGCAAGGGTTTGCAAAATCGCAACTTTGACACACATGTCAAGTTTAACATTTTACCTGCAAAGTAGCCATATGTTAGTTTTTTTAGTTGTCGTTGAACCATTATAGGAGTAGAGTAATTTAACGTAGCTTGTTCATAAAAATCATCAAACACCCTCGTTACACTGCTCAGAGAAGTGTGAATCGTGTTATGGGTAAATTGAATGTATGATCACTAGATTTACTGAATTATTTCACATTTGCCGCTACAAATATTTATTCCATCACTGAACACTAAAATTAGTTCAATAATCCTTACTAAAAAAAGATTAGTTCAATAATCCAAGCTTGGTCACTGACCGTTCAATTGCATTAACTTTGTGTGATGTAGCATTTAACTCTCATAGTTGATCATTAAATATGTGGCATGACAACTGAAAAATAATTTTTTTATAATTTCAAGTGTTCCACCCCATTTTAACAACTACTAGAAAATACCATTTTAATTTCCTATAATCTTCTAAACACCCATACCCTACTTGATTATGCCTTCACTAGTGATGGCAATGGGGCGGAGCGGATACCTCAATTCCCATGCCCCGCTCCACGCTATTACGGGTCGGGGCGGGTAAAACCCGCGCGCGTACAGGGTGGGACGAATCGACCCACTCTTACATGTTATTTGAAAAAGATATATGCAAGTTTTACTTTTTACGATAAAACAAAGGAAAACACTTTATTAAAGAAAAATGTTGATAATAGAATGAGCAAGTAAGTCTAACAAGTTGAAATATTGACTCTAACTAGTTGAATAAGAGTCAAAATAAGAGAAATATGTATAGATACCGTAAGAATTTGAGATAAAATGTGTCTAGAACGAGGCGGGGCGGGGCATTGCGGCTCGAAAGTAGATACTCATGCCCCGCCCCACGCTGCTACGGGTCGGATAATACCCGCCCCATCGCGAATCAGATAAGGTAATACCCGCGAGGCGGGTTCAAATTGCAATCACTAGCTTTCACCGGCCTCATGTCCTCATCCTCAATACAAAAAAAAAATATCTCATACATTTATTACAAAAATATATAAGGAAAGTACATATTTGTATGTGAATTTTAGAGGCATCAGCATTTATTATAAAAATACAGAAGGAAAGTATATAATTACAATTGAGTGATACCATATAAAAGGAAATAATATAATTGGGGCTTGGTTTCTTTATAATATGTATAAATAAGCATAAGACAATGACATCAAGGTATATTAAACATTACAAAACTACTGACATAAAACTTGTGGGGTGTAAGAACTAAGAAGGAGATAAAAATATCGTAATAGAAGACATGAAAAATAGTGCAATGAAGCTGGCTTTCTCTGTTGCTCTCTTATTTCTCACAATTGGTATGTATCAGTTGGATCTGATATCTTAGATTTAACATTGTTATAATTTGTTACTTTTATATTGGTTTATTATTAGACTCACAATTGATAATGTGGATTGTGGTTTCAAGGTTTGGAGATGCGAGTTATCGAAGGAAGAGGACCCATAATTTCGATTAAGTGTAAGAAGTTGCATGATTGTACCTCGATATGTTGGGATTTTGGAAAGTGCAAAGTTTGTGATTGTAAAAAACACAAGTGTGTTTGTGCTGATGATGTTAATGTTAACAATGTCACTGTTAATACGTCGCACCAAATCACCAATCCTCCATCTCTTGGGTATTAATAATGGTGTCATATGATATTGTATCATCAGTTGTCAGCATATAAATATGTTGCAACAAGGAATAAAAGGGAGAGAAATACCAATTGTTTTTTGTTGGAGATTTTTATTTGGCGGATATATTAACGACGTTATAAGTTACAATAACTTCGTTAACGAAAAGTTCAAGTAACTGTCACATTAGTTTCAAATCGACTATCTGCCTACCATGTTATATTAAGACAAATAAAAAAAACCATTTCACAAATAAATTTTTGAGAATTATATTTATATACAAAATTTATTCCATATTTTCCTTATATATTTTTGTTTTATGCACGAAACAACTAACCAAATTTAGCATTATGAAAAAAATGCTATGACTATCACATGAGCCAAAGTTTTCACTCTAGAGATGCATTTTACCAACATATTACAAAAGAATTGTAGAGCTATTTTTGGGCTGGTCCAACAAATCCTAAAATAAAAATGGGCTTCCGATCTCAGACAGAAAGCTGACGGACAGATGGCTACCTATTGGACTCTCACTAATTAAACCCAATCAAGCGAGTCTCGTTCAAAATGAGACGATCCGTGTCACAAGTTTCAATTCACTCTCAGCCGTCCATACACTATCCATCTACGGTCCAGATCCCCCATTCCCTCACCGCCCACAAAATTTCAATTTCCCGCTCGCAGTTAGCGATCCGCGTCACTCGCATTTAATCGTTCCTGACCGTCGATTCCTCATTAATCAACGCTCCAGAATTCTCCACAGATCCCGCCTTTTTACACACCCAAAAAAAACACGAAGGCGGAAAATTTTCAAATCCCCGCTTCTCCCAATCCAATCTAACTATAAATCCATCCCCAGTTCCATCATCGTTCCCTCACCACGAGCAAGCTTTCAAATTCTCAAACCCTAAATCCCCCCAAATTCCAGATCTAGTTCTTCTACTCTCCCTCGATCCTCTGAATCTGCAATGGCCCGCACGAAGCAGACTGCCCGCAAGTCCACCGGAGGCAAGGCCCCGAGGAAGCAGCTGGCGACGAAGGCCGCCCGCAAGTCTGCCCCCGCCACCGGCGGCGTGAAGAAGCCCCACCGCTTCAGGCCTGGAACCGTCGCTCTGAGGGAGATCAGGAAGTACCAGAAGAGCACCGAGCTTCTCATCCGCAAGCTTCCCTTCCAGAGGCTCGTCAGGGAAATCGCCCAGGACTTCAAGACCGACCTCCGCTTCCAGAGCAGCGCCGTCTCCGCTCTCCAGGAGGCCGCCGAGGCTTACCTCGTCGGGCTGTTTGAGGACACCAATCTCTGCGCCATTCACGCCAAGAGAGTCACCATCATGCCCAAGGACATCCAGCTCGCCCGCCGCATCAGAGGCGAAAGGGCTTAGGCTTCCTTTCTATTGTATCGCTCTGTTTGATTCGGTTTCAGAATTAGCGGTTGTGGTTATGGCTGTGTATTGATTAGTAGTGGAGAAGTTGTAATCGTAATCGCAAATTTCAATGGAAAACCCCTCAATTTCCGTTCAGATCTATTTCCATTTCAATTTAATTAGCCTAACAATTCTTCATCTTGTTTAATTAATCTAATTTGGTTCGCATAATTGAATTAAAATGAAGCGTCTAAGCGACGCCGTATCATTAGATTGCGTTTGCAGGCCTTGAGCTTGGTTATTTTGGGCCGTATATCTACTGTTAACTTGAAGCGGCTTCCGAGTTCGGCCCAATATTAATTGAATTTTATTTTATATTTGCCGTTATGCGTATTTTAGAGTGTTAGACTATTATAGTCTCCTGAAGAGAAGCGAAATTCAGACACCGTCAATTCAAAGCAGTGGAGACTGGAGAAGACCGGGGGAGCGACTTGGCGGAAGGGAGAAGCTTTGCGACGAAGCGGGGAGAGAACTTGAATTCAGTAAAATGGAGAAAGAACGACATCATTCGTCGCGGTACAGGAAGCGAGATTATACGGAGACGGTGGACGACGGCGCAAACGCTGCAACGATAGGCGGCGTGTTGGAGACGGCGAAAGCGGATAGAGCGGTGTGGCTGATGAAGTGCCCGTTGGTGGTGGCGAAGTCATGGCAAGCTCACGCCGCTGCTTCCGATTCGCAGCCGGTGGCGAAAGTCGTCGTCTCTCTCGATCCTCTTCAGCCCGACGAGCCTTCTCTGGTACTTCTTTTGATTTTGGAGGTTTCTTTTTGCCGGCAGCTGCTGCTGCGGGTTTTTGTAGATCTGTTGAAATTAGGCTTTTGCGTTCGAGTACTGGAGCTCGAGCTTATTCTTCATCTGGAAACCCTAGCTATTTAGCTGAAGTTAGGTTGCTTGCTTGCATCTCTGGCGATGTCGCTTTTGCCTTGCTATTATTAGTGCTAGGTTACTGTTTTGGAACTTCTGAGGGTTTATTTCTGTTGAAGGAGTTACAATTGCTGCAGAATTAGGCTGATAATGTTTGGTTCTTGTTTAGGCTTATGATTTGTGACAATTCGAGATGTTTCCTGCCTATCATTTGGCAATTGACATTCACCGATCTCTGTACAGTTGCTCAGGTCATTTGGTTATCTAAGAAGTTTTCTTTCTTTGGTTATCTATTGTGGTATCAGTAGCTCAGTCATTTGTATTGCGTCACACTATTGTTCCATGACCCTGCTATCTAAGAGCGGCTGCAATTAGGTGGTGATGTACGGGGATGTAATCTAAGCCGGTTGCTAGACTGTCTGCTGGTTGTAATAGACTCGGATATGGGTAGCATGTGTCTTATTCTTATATATGGCTGTGTTGACTGCACAAGTTTATCCTTTTCCTATTAGTTTCAGCAGTTCTGTTCTGTGCTTTTACTTTACGGATTGATTTAAAGTTTCACTGAAATACGTTGATACTATCTCATGTGTAGTTCAAGATGGAGATGGCCGCGAGTGAGAATGAGAACATACCAAAGAGCTACTCTTTGAATATGACTAAAGACTTTGTCCCTATGTGTATATTTTCTGAGCCAAATACAGGTGAACCTCTCTTTTCGAATGTTGAAATATTTTTCTTCTGTTGAATTGGACGATTGCATCGGGCTTTCTGTGCGTATTTTGTATTTTGGAGTGCTGTAGATAGCAGAGATAATGTAAGTGGTTGGATTCTGGTAAGTACTTCAGAGTTCAATCTTCGGAATTTGGTGTAGGGGGGAAGGTTGCTGTTGAAGGCAAAGTGGATCATAAATTTGACCTGAAGCCACATAATGAGAACATTGAAGAGTATGGCCGGTTATGTCGTGAGAGGACAAATAAATCAATGATTAGGACTAGGCAAATACAGGTATCATAGCATCTCCCCCTTAAACTGGAAGCGAGGCTTCATCTTCTCATTAATTTGGCTGCTTATGAATGTGATACTTGTGCTTTGTACAATAAGGTGATAGATGATAACCGCGGAATGCATATGAGACCTATGCCTGGAATGGTGGGCTTGATGTCATCGAACTCCAAGGTATAAATGTTTTCTTCGTGCTGTCTACAGAACCATTTATCTCATCCTTTTGCTAAGTTAAATGTTCCAAGCTAATGTTCTAAAAAAATCAATGATCAACATCAAAATCTCCAATGCGATCAATATGTTAGCAGGAGAAAAAGAAGCCTCAACCGGTGAAGCAAACTGAGGTGAAGAGAACCAGGAGGGACCGTGGTGAACTAGAGGATATAATGTTCAAACTATTTGAGAAACAACCTAACTGGGCCCTGAAGCAGCTTGTACAAGAGACAGATCAACCCGCAGTAAGCTTCTCTCCCCCACTCCATTTCTTAAACCTGTGTTGTTAACTAGCCAAAGCTTTTGGTTGTTCCAATCCTTCTAGTTCATACTTGTGTGCTGAACTTTGGGATCTGATTTTGGATGCTAGCAATTTTTGAAAGAGATCCTTAATGAGCTCTGCGTATACAACAAAAGAGGTTCGAATCAAGGGACCTACGAGCTTAAGCCCGAATACAAGAAAACTGCTGTTCCCGAGCCAGGTGCTGAGTAAGTGAGAGTAACCATCTGTGCAGGTGTGCTGCGAAATACCTTTTCACAGCTGCAAATGTGGAAAAGGCCACCTTCAGAGTGTAATGTAGGGGTAACAATTATTACACAACCCCTTATCAGAAGGATATTGTTGCTTACCAGACATCAGTACTCTTAACTCACAACACAAGTACCATCCCAGCCTGTGATTGTTGTATTTTCGCCATTATCTTCGGTTCCAGTTCTTGATTGTGGCCATGAAAATGAAGTATACCATATGCTGTTGTAAATTGTAATTACCTTTCGCGCCCTTCGATCGATTTCAGCTTCCTCAAAGGAGTTGGTTTACTGTAATACTGGTAGCTAGTAGTGTAAATACTAAATAGTCTTCCGGTGCTGTCTGGGGATTAAGATTTTTGTTACGTCCATCTGGCTTTTTGACATCTATGGCTCCCGTTATCTCAATTATCATCATTGCACCAGTCAATCAAAGTTGGTAGTGGCATGCAAAGTTGCAAACTGTTCCTCGAATTCTCAAATCATTTCTCAACTTATATCCATTCACCATCTCATTTTCAATAATTTTTCACTTGCTTTTTCCACTGCATTGTAATTCCCATCACTTTTGCCACGCGAACATCGAGAATAGACAAATCGATAATAGCGTGGGAGAGTACGAGGTCATTAAATAAACCGAACCCATTTTTAATATAGCTAAACCATTGTACTCATAACTAAAAGTATGCCATCCATCACTCCCATGAGCATCCGTCCAACACCGCTATAACCATGATGTCGTGGAGATAGCTACGAATTGCCACAAATTTGCTACGTTACCATAGTTATCTCCGAGTCCACATGATTATGAGCGTGTTAGATAGATACTCACAGGAGTGATGAATGTCGTATCAGTGACCAATGGTAGTTTTACCCTTAATTGTATGACAAGAGATTTAATCTGTGTGCCGAACACTCATCATTTTCGTAAGATCGCTCACGTAGATCACATAATGAAATGAATAAAGTGATAAAGAGAAAAGAAAAAGAGCACAAAACAACTCTCCCTGAAAATTGAAGCCACATCAACAAATTTGATTCCATCGCCAAATTCAACAGCAACTATACGTAGTGCTTTCCCTTCATGAGTAGGTATCTTGAATATATACAACCAAGAACATCAAACAACAAGGCCAATTAGCCCTAGCGTGAGAAATTTGGTCACCAGCCCATTGGATGTATCTTGCTGTCCACTAACTGTGCCGTGGTGCTTTTGTTGTCACATAACGGACCAACATTCTCAAGTGCGCTGGCCATGGAAGATGCAAGTCCTCTGAAAATGACCCACTAGGAATCTTCTAATATCAGTCACCCTAAGGTGGTATTTTACATAGGTAGCTAGCTATAGCTTCCCCTCATTGGTATATAGCACATTTGCTCTAAGATTCCGATACCATCGAATGTTAGTAGTTACTACCCTTTTGAGAACGTTAATCATAGCACGAGTTTAACTTGACAATGACTACACATGTCGAAAACCCTAGGTGGCGCGTTTTTGGCTTTATGTTAGGCTAAGTACCTTTGTGGGAGAGTGAGGAGTCCCTTTTCCACAAACCATGGGGATGGCTCACAACAACTCACAAGTGCAAAGCAAAGAGACATGATTGAAGCGGGTGATATGGTAGTGGAGACTTGTCACTCTCCCATGAAGAAGAATAAAGGATCTTTGGAGAAACAGAGGCCAATAATTCGAGAAAATGAAGGGAAGGAGAGTGAGATAGTCAAGGATGGTTTTGATCGAAATAGGAAAAGGTCGTGCAACTATGTATTGCCTCCGGTTAGGAATGAGTTATATTCCCATCTCATAAAATATATATCTCCATCATCTTCAAAGTGTGGAATACACGAATTGTTTGAGAGAATATATAAAAAGATAGAATTTCAACAACTAGAAATTTTTGGGAGCGATTTCATGCTCAACAAGCTATGAAGTCAAATATGCCGAGGAAGAGTTGCGTTGTAGGAAAAAAAAAAAAACTTTTTGCACTTGCTTAGATGCACCTCCCTCAACGTGTACGATGGATACGATGATTCTGCACATATAACTAATTAATTAATAAACTGCTAAATATGAATGACAATTTCAATATGATCTGTCCTATTTGATTTGTTTGACTTGTTTTGGATGAGTAATACTCGTCTCGTAGGCGGGGAGGGGAATGAATACTTTTTCCGATCTCACCTACCTCATTATCGACCCGATTTTCTAAATTATATGTATTTTACTCAGACTAATTAGAATTTTTTTATTACATAATATTTTAGCTATAATTAGTTGTAAATAGCTAATGGCTTCAACTTCTTCAATAATTTAACTTTTATAATGTCAAAGTTTGTTTCTCAAATGTTGAATAAAAATCAATGTTCTTAGTATTTTATTTAAAATACACACTCATAAAAATCAACCCGTCATGACCCGCTAAAAAAATAGAATACTCAACCTATCAAGAAGCCGATATAAGGATTGAGATACCTGTCCCAACTTGCCCCATAAATTTTAGATAGTACATGTTTATAGTGTCACTGAAAACCATTTACCCATAAATTTTATATGATAGTATTCGTTAAGTTTAGGTACTCCATAGACATACACCATTTACAATCTTTCATTTGTGAGCAAGCTAGCTGATAGCGCTAGCAGGCCTCCTTTTAAGCTTTTTGATTCGGAATCTACTCCATGTTTGCTGCAACTAACGGGTAGAATCCCACCCATTAACTAATTAAAATTTTATAATATTAAAAATTTATTTAATGAATACTAATAATAGATTATCATTAAATCTTCTCCAAAATGGTGTAGTTAGTTTTCCTCCCACTGAAAAAGAAGAAGTGAGAAAGGTGGGAGGATATATATGTTAGTGATCCAGGAGACAAAAGTAATAACTTACAGATAAACAAGTGCTTTTTGAGGAAGAAGAATTTCCAGGATTTGATTCACAGAATGAAAGCTACACATCTAAAGCTAATTAATTAAAATAACTTAATTACGCACTAGCCGCAAAGTATTTGAAAGAACCATCGTGCTCACCTTAAGTGAGTGCTGAAGATTTTATTTGATTTGCTTATTAAGATTAGTTTCAAAGATTATAAGATCCAAAAGTATTAAAAATAGGAGATACTTATTTGCTCGTAGGAGTCGATTGCTAGTTCGTAAATTTGAAGACAAAAAAAAAAAAAAAAAACCAAACAAACAAAACATAGGCAAGAATTGTAATTTGTAAAGTGAAAACAAGATTACATCCTCATTAATAGAGAACATGATACTATATCCTTACTTTGGATTTTAATGTGCAACACTTATTAATTAATTAACGGATCATAAAAGAATTAAATAAATTAATCAAGTACCAGCTAAGCTAGTGATAGAAACCCGCATTTCTATTTAATTAGCAATTGCACTTATTTGATAGTTTATGAATGTTTAGGGATTTATTGGCTATTTGGGGATTAGATTGGGGGTTAATAAGTTAGGGTAGTTGTCAGTAATTGGGAATTGTTATTTAAACTATTTTCTACGTTGAATGAGATTATGGAATAATTGAAACCTAAACCTAATAGCACTTCTCCTCTTCCTCCTTTCCTTCCCTCTGCCGACCCAACACTTCCCCCTCTTCCCCTCGGCAGCCACTGCTGCCTCCTTCCCCTTCCTTCTTCTTCTTCTTCTTCTCTTCGCCAAACCACTTCCCTTTTCCCTTCTAATCACTTTCCCACCTACTGCCGCCACCCTAGACCCCCCCATTCCCATTTCAATTCTCCTTATATCATCATCAGGTAGAACCCGGAGAATCGGGTTTCTATCATCTGGTATCAGAGCTCAGGTTCTGACTATCGAGTTTATCGCAACTCTACATTGGCACGGAAAACGGAGCTATGGCGATCACTAAATCACCTGCGGAGAAGTCTGATGCTGGATCCAAGGCAGCCCAGACCAGGGTTCCCTCGCCGCAGGCAGACAATCGGCGTGAAGGAGTGGTGGTGGACGAGACGGAGAGCGACGATCTCCAAGCCTCGATGCGCACCATCATGGCAATGCAACTGAGGACCGACGCCAACATGGAAGAGGTGAGGGCCGAGGTTGATGAGGCCAAGCGTGATCGTGACATGATCATGCAGATCCTCACCGGCATGCAGGAGGAGCAGAGGCGGTTGGTGGCGGCGTTGGGCCTCGGCGGAGGTGATCGATGCGAGGAGGCGGCGGCCAAGGCGAGCAACGCAGCGGCGGCTGGCCAACCCGCGGGCGCCGGAGGAGGGAAGCCGACGGCATCCTCAGCGGTGAGCTCGGCGGCGGCTGTCCCAGCTGCTGTCGACGCGGTGGCTGGGCCCGGAGGAGAGGCGACGGCGACGACGGCAACCCTAGGGCAGGCGGGAACTGATCGGGTGGGCCCAGTGACTGATGGGCCTCGGGGCGGACCCGGGCTGCTACCGACCCCGACGGCGGAAGAGATCGCGGCACTACGCGGAAAGGCAAAGATGCCGGGCTACGACAATGTGGTCCAAAACCCCTGTTTCAAGCCCATGGGCCCGAGCCCAATGGAGGGTGAGACGGGTCGGGGACAGCGGACCGGAGACGGGCCCGATCGGGCAGGTGGAGCAGAGCGGGCCATGGTGAACCGACCGGGCCCAGAGAGCCGGACCGGACCGGGCTGGGCCGATGGTGGTCGGACCGGGCCTGGGTGGATCGAGGCCGGTCGGACCGGAGCTGGGTGGACCGACAGTGGCCGAACCAGGGCCGGGTGGACCACCAATGGCCGAACCGGGGTGGGCCGATTTGCAAGCGAACCCCACCGGTTCGGGTTGACTCCGGATGGCCGACCAGTGGCTGAATGGCGTGCACAGCTGGAGGGTTCAAGTGCATACGGGCCCCCGTTGGCACCAGCAGGAGACCCAGGGGGTCAGCTGGGTGGGTACGAAGACTACGCAGGCGGGAATGGACCGGGCTGGAGCATAGGGGACGACGCACGCGGACCCCCGGGGTATTACAGGGGCTACCCCAGTGCGGGCAGGTATGGCGGCTATGATCGTTATGATGATGAGTATGGATTGGTGTTTAGGGCCAAGCCCCCGACCATTGAGTTTCCGAAATTCAATGGCCAGGAGGATGCAGGTTTGTGGTTGTATGCAGCTGACAGGTGGTTTAAAAATCACCCAACCCGGGAGGAAAGGAAGGCGCAACTAGCGTCCTTTTATCTGGAGGGAGACGCGCTGCATTGGTGGGAGTGGTTGGAGCGATCCTATGCGGCCGCGCAGACGCTGATTACTTGGCCGATATTCCAGGAGGAGCTTCGCTACCAGTTCGGAAAATCTGAAGGATGGGCGCCAGAGCAGTTAGCCAAGCTCAGAAAGACCGGCTCGGTAGCTGATTATCGGGCAGAGTTCCTTAAGCTGGGAAACCAGTGTAAGGGAGTTCCAGAGGAGACCCTGGTGGGCCTGTGCATGGCAGGTCTTAACCCAGAGTTTGCTGCTGCAGTCAAGATTTTCGTACCAGATACCTTGCGGGCTGTTTTTCATCTTGCAGGTCATAAAGAAGAGGAGCTGGAAAGTTGGAGGAACGTCATAGGACGTTACCCCAAGACTGGAGGAGGAGGCCATGCCGGTGCGGGGAGTAGCGGGGGTGGCAGCACCGCTATCACTGCTAGCGGCGGGGCGGGCGCGACACCAGGAGCAGTGGCCCTGGCAGCACGGCTTGGGCCTAGGGCTCCACCGAAGGGCTTCGTCAGGCTGAGTTCAGCGGAAATAGATCAGAAGAGGAGGGAAGGCAAATGCTTCAACTGCGACGAGCAGTTCACCATCGGGCACAAGTGCGCAAAGCCGGAGTTGATGATGTTGGTGGGAAGATGGGAGGATGAGGCCGAGGAAGATGCAGCGAACGACAGAGGCGAAGGGCAGGTGGAGGACTGACAACCTTGAGGACAAGGTTGATTCGAAGGAGGCGGGGATGATAGAAACCCGCATTTCTATTTAATTAGCAATTGCACTTATTTGATAGTTTATGAATGTTTAGGGATTTATTGGCTATTTGGGGATTAGATTGGGGGTTTAATAAGTTAGGGTAGTTGTCGGTAATTGGGAATTGTTATTTAAACTATTTTCTACGTTGAATGAGATTATGGAATAATTGAAACCTAAACCTAATAACACTTCTCCTCTTCCTCCTTTCCTTCCCTCTGCCGACCCAACACTTCCCCCTCTTCCCCTCGGCTGCCACTGCTGCCTCCTTCCCCTTCCTTCTTCTTCTTCTTCTTCTCTTCGCCAAACCACTTCCCTTTTCCCTTCTAATCACTTTCCCACCTACTGCCGCCACCCTAGACCCCCCATTCCCATTTCAATTCTCCTTATATCATCATCAGGTAGAACCAGGAGAATCGGGTTTCTATCATCAATCGGGTTTCTATCAGCTAGCCGGAAAGCAATTAAAAGAGGCAGCCGTTCGTGACCAGCAGCCAGAAATAAGTCAATTTTTTTTTGATGAATAAGGTGTTTTATTCATCAAGAAAGGGGAAGGTCCTGTGTATAGGAGCCCCCCTAACTGGAAACTCAGTAGCAACCAAATACACCATTCTCAAAAGGTACACAAGGAAACCAAACGAACAAGCTTCTAACTAAGTGTCAACAGCCCTAACTACTAACAAAATCTTCAGAAATTGCACTAGCTACTTGAGGATAGCCATTCCTTAGCAGCTGCAGCAAGCCTTTAATCCTTCTAACTAATTGACCAGCATCCAGAACTTCACCTGCCATAACTCTTCTACATCTTTCTCGCCATAATTCAGCTATCACCATAACCCACAGCAGCCTGCCACGATCAGAGGCATTACAGTTCAATCGAAATAAAGTCACAGCCCTTACCAGAGACTCTTCCCAGCTAGCACCAACTATATCACAACCACCAAACAGAGCCCTGATCACAGTTTTTGAATATGAGCAGTTAAAGAAGAGGTGATCTCTAGATTCCTCCGCAGAGAAGCAAAGAGGACATGAGTTTACTACAATAGGATTCCACTTTTTCACTTTATCAAGCGTGTTAATCCTGTCCAAAATCACCAACCAGACAATCATCTTATCCCTAGGAGTCCCAAATGATTTCCAGACCAAGGAATACCACAAAACCCTCCCATGTTTAATTCGAAGTGTCTCCCGGACCTTTTTAACAGAAAATTTGTCCATGGCTGAATCATCCCAAAACACTCTTGTTGATCGAATTCTGAGATGTTGAGCTGCTAGTGATCGAATCTTCAGCACTTTCTTCCAGGCCCAAGAACAGGGAACAGAATCAGAGATATCCCAGATCGAGGTGAAGCAAAGTTGATACTGTCTAACCCATGAAGCCCATAAAGATGAAGAATTCGAGGAAATAGCCCAGAGGTGTTTAACCAAACAGGCCATATTCCAACTTCTGAGGTCTTTAAACCCCAATCCCCCCTCCTTTTTTGGCCTAGCTATCACTTCCCAGATCACCTTCGCCTTCTTCCCTTCCTCCCCTGCACTCCAAAGGAAGTCAAAGCATGCCTTCTCCACCATTTTCAACACCTTTATTGGGAGTTGAAGGATTCCCATCCAGTATTGGGTTATGCTTGATATAACAGCAGAGATGAGCTGAAACTTACCAGCATAGGATAGTGTCTTTGCTTTCCAGCCCCTAATCCTGGCTGTGATTTTGTCTACCAGTGCAGCACAGTCTGCAGAATTCAACTTCCCAGCTATCAATGGGATACCCAGGTAACGCACAGAAAGGTGCCCTATAGCAAACCCTGTTCTGGAAGAGATTTGGGCTTGAACAGAAGGATCTACCCCCCCCCCCCCACAAAACACCTCACTTTTTGCAGGATTACACTTCAACCCTGAGACCATATAGAAAGCATCCAGAATAGACTTTGTTTGCCCCACAGCCTCAGGAGTACCCTTGGTGAAAATCAACAGATCATCGGCAAAACACAGATGAGACAGCCCTATTCTATGTGTTTGTGGGTGGGGGGGGGGGAAGAGTTTTAATGGCATAGGCCCTATTCAGCATACAGGAAAGGACTTCCATAGCTATGGTAAAGAGATAAGGGGATAGAGGATCTCCTTGTCTCAAACCTTTTTGTGCAGAAAAGTATCCACAAAGCCCCCCATTGAAACAGACACTGAGTTTAGTGCTATGAAGGCAGGTTCTTATCCAGGAAATGAATAGAGTTGGGAATTGCATAGCTTCCATTACAGTTTCTAGATAGTGCCAGTCAACACTGTCAAAGGCTTTCATCACATCTACTTGAAGGGCACATCTAGGAGAGATAGTTTTCCTATTATATAATCTAACCATCTCATGAGCCAGCAAGATATTGTCACTTATAAGTCTGCCCTTTATGAATGCTGATTGGTTCTGACTAATAACCAAGGGAAGAACTTCCTTTAACCTATTAGCAAGAACTTTTGCAATACACTTGTAAAGTATGTTGCAACAAGAAATGGGCCTAAATTGCTTCATACACTCAGCATTCAGCACCTTTGGAATAAGAGCAAGGTAAGTTGAATTTATCTCTGAGAGGAGTTTGCCCGTTCTGAAGAAATCCAATACTGCAGTAATGATGTCATCACCTAGAATCTCCCAGTTAGTCTGAAAAAACCTTGCTGTGAAACCATCTGGTCCAGGTGACTTCTCCCCATTCATGGAAAATAGAGCAACTTTTACTTCCTCTCTGGTTATAGTACTACAGAGAGGCTTTGATTGATCAGAACTCAATTTGTGGACAAGTAACTGGGAAAGCAGAGTGCTACTTATCTTCTGGACCTCAGTGTTCCTGGTTCCCAGTAGATTTCGGTAAAATCGAACAACTTCCTCACTCATATCTTTTACCTCAGTCAAAACTGCTCCTTCCTCAGAGATGATCTTTTTGATAGTAGAACGAGCCTGATGAGATTTCACATAATTGTGAAAGAACGAGGTGTTCAGATCACCAGTCTTAACCCAAAGAATCCGGGATTTTTGCCTGTAGATGATCTCTTCATCCCTGAGCAGATTCCAAAGCTGAGTCTGACAATTAGTCACTTGCTTAAATGATTCATAGGAAGGCTGAGAGAGAGCCTCCACTTGTATTTTTTCAAGTTCTCTCTTTGCAAGCTTCACCCTCTCAAAAATCTCTGAGTAAGCTGATCTATTCAGTTTTCGTAGCTGTCTTTTAACCTCCCTCAATTTCTGATACACGATAAACATAGGAGTGCCTTTGTAATGTTTGCTCCAAGCATCTGTGATAATCTGCCTGTACTGAGGATGAGATTCCCAGCTGCTAAAATATTTAAACGGCTTTGGCAAAGATGAGATGTGAATGTCAGAATCCATAAGCAAGCCGCAGTGATCTGATAATATGGGGGGGGGGGGGGGGAGGAGTTTAACTGCATAGTTAGGAAAAGTTGCCAACCAACCAGAATTAACTAATACGCGATCAATTCTCCTAGCTATTGGATTGCCTTCCTGTCTATTAGTCCAAGAGAACCAAGGACCATCAAAATTGCTTTCCTCCAACTCCATACTGGTAATCCACTCATCAAATTCCAACATACTCTGCATTCTCATTGGACTATTCGAAGCCTCATGAACCCCACGAATTGCATTAAAATCTCCTAACACTAGCCAAGGCATGCTCTCTGGCTGAAGTGCAGGATGTTGATACAGTTGCCTTCTAGCATTTTCGTCATTAGAACCATATACAAACGTGATTTTTGCTGATCTATCACCCCTTATGACCCCATGTACAAACTGCTCAGACCTCTCAATCACATCAAAAACCAGATCCTTTTTCCAGAAAACCCATATCCTTCCTAATGGGGAATACTCATAGTTGTGAGCAAACTCCCATCTACAAACTTCGAAGTCACAATGTCTTTTGATTTTTCTTCCTTTACCCGAGTCTCTATAACCCCAAATACATCCACATTTTCTTTATTTACTATTTCCAGAATCTGCTGCTGCTTGTCGGGGTGATTAAATCCCCTCATGTTCCAAGCAAGCACTTTCATTTCTTCTGTTTGGATTTTGCAGGCCTACCCGGGCCTTTCTTAACCTGCTTTCCCTTACCTTTATCTTCAGCCTCTAACACAGGGAATTCCTCTAGATTGTTCAGAACAGGACTACCCACTATAATATCCCCAACTGCAAAATTCTCTACAGCTAAATTCTGAAATCGATTAGCTACAGGAGTAATAGAACCCCCTGCAGCAGCTAAAGCAGTAGAATGGTCAGGGTGCCTTTCCATTGCTGTCTGAAATTCCTTTTCTGTAGGCAGCTCCACATTAGTTCTCTGCCACTCAGATAGGACTCCTTGCTCTATGGATTTAACCAGATTGGCAACAGCAAGGTTCAGGTTTCGACAGGCTACTTCAGCGGATTCCTGAGCTTTGCCTTTAGAGGCAAGAATAGAGTCTAAGATCAACTGACCCGCACTCCCAGCTTCAACCTGATGTTCCTCCTGCCCTACAACCACCTGATCTTCTTGAGACACTTCCTCAACCCCCTCAACCCCTAAGACTTCACACTGATGCCCAAACACCCTACACTTCGAGCAGCCAACTGGTTTGTTACAGTATTCCAGCCCTACCAGAAACGCAGGCTTCTTATCGGGGACCAGTTTGAGTGACTCAGGGAAGGGAGAATCAACAGACATTTCAATACAGACCCTTGGAAATCCCATTCTCCTTCCCAATCTAGTAGACTGATCAAACCATAAAGGACGCCCCAACATGCTTGCCAATCGAGTCAAGATTCTACCTGTGGTGTATTCAACAGGAAGATCTTGGAAACAGACCCAGATGGGAATGGTGGAATCACAATTGACCGCTCGAATGCCCGCTGACCATTGCCGAAGAAAGCACATGTCATTGTTAAAGTGCCATGGACCACTTGTGAAGACCCAATCCGCTGCTGTCGCATTGGGGAACTGGAAGAGAAATAGCTGTTCGTTGAACTTCGAAACCCTAACAGTGCCCGATTTTCCCCATAACCTGTTCGCCCAGCTCTGAAGTTGCTTCACAGAAGGAGTAGAATGGAGGAACTGACCTACAAGGCTGTTCTTCCATCGGGCTTCCCCTTCCTTCACTAGTTCTTCCGGAATCCTCAGACCGCCATCAACGAGCTCTGGTTCGATGTAGACTAGACGATTCGCTTCCGCAATACCGAATAGATCTGCCCAAGACTGTCCTATCGAGGCCATCGCAAGCAGAAGAAACTCAGGCAATAGGAAGAAGATCACCGGAGAATAATCCGCGCGTCAATCGGAGATTCGTGCGACGGGAAACCGCCGGCAAACCGGAGCCGCTAACAAAAAAAAATACAATTGATATATCAGGCCAGGCTCACCAGCCGCTTTTTCATTCCAAGCCCAGAAGTTGATCGAGTAAGAAGTGGCCAAACCACTAGCTGACCAAACAGACGGAAAACTCTCCGTCTTGTTTTATGCCCATCTAATCTCCCGAAATAAGTCAATTTTGATGACTGGTAATTGATTAAGCGGTGTAAAAATTAGTGAAAAAGTATATAGGGAAAACGATAAGCCTCTTGTTTGTGTAAGCAAAGATTGATCCGAAAAGTAATTATTGGAAATTAAGGACATATATAACTAACCCCTATGTAAATGTCGGTATATTTGTTTGTAAAATCTTGGGCTTGGTTAGACTAACGACAACCAAATCTTTGGTGCTTAACTACTAAATGACAGGCAATTACGTTGAACAACAACCAATTGCTATCAAATCATGTCGTGGGGGGTTTGGTCATCATCTTCTTTTTTTCCCGTCATCCATTTCTTGAGTCACTAATACTAATAGATCAGGTAAAATAATACACTGATTTTTCCTAAATGTACGATTTCGTTAATAAGCCTAGCTAGTAAGGTTACACTTCCACTCGGTATCTTTGATTCACTTCTCGTTTAATACATGTACATATCCTTATTACATAAAAAGAGGAAACCTCTAACACTTTATGAATAAAAATAATTGATGATATTTTGTACTCCCCGAACTTTTGATATTTCGAGTTTGTTATATTAGATCATATCAATAAGAAAAGCAAATGAGACCAAATAACAGAAGACTCAGAAATCATGAGTGGAGGTGAACGGGAATAACTTTACATGCCAAAACAGCCAAACAAGAAAAAAACATATAAAGGTATTGATTGCATTACCAAAGCGTAGTGTTTATCTTGTAGCTATTGGTCGATCGAGTTGATCGTAAGAGATCAAGCAAGCTAAAGAGCCAACTCACAAAATGATGCCAAGATCTTTCCAAAGGACTCATGGCCATGGCCGCCTTCTAGTTCTAAATAAAAAACCTCAAACCTAAATCGACACGATCGACTTTACGTTGCCCTTTCCTTTTCTCCTCCCCACTCACTAATTAGCAACGACTTCTTCCGGAGTGGCTTCTGTCTAAGAACCTTGCCCTAATCTTATTTTTAGTGACCCCATTCACATCATTCTCACATGTCAATTACTAATTCGTTCCAAGTTATTGTCCATGTTCATCTCTCTCGCGGTCCCCCTCTCGAAGAAAGTCACAACTTTAGCCATTAGTCACGAGAAAACGAAAGAAGGAACACGATATATGTAAGCGATGAGATTTAGAATCAATAAAGACTAAGAATAAAATTAGAACGACTTTCAAGTATCAAAACATAGTTTCGATGGAGAAAGGATGATCTCGACATATGTATACACATATTTATATTGGTCATTCCATTGAAGTATGAAAGATTAACATTTCGTCAGTAACTATATATATGTCGTTCAAACACTCTCTTTACTGTGAGAATCAACACCCAAATGAGAAAATGTAAACGTAATATGAAGTTGCAAAGGTTGAAAGTTAATGCAATGATAGAAGAATGAAAGAAATCAACGATATTAAAAGGGAGAGGAGAGGATATGGTCCCTTCTTTTTGTGGATAGTTTCATCATAGTGGTACCACTAAATAGTAAATACTAGCTAATTAATACCATGGATATTTTCTTCTTCTCTTTCACATGCTCATTCTTCATATTTTGATGTGATATATTTGGGGTTGAGAGGAATAATTGTAGTTTTAGTGATTGAGATTGGTTGATTTTTTTGTAATGTTCGGAAGATGGGTCATATAATAAAGTTAGCAAAGACTTAGTGATTGGATGAGGCATTTTAGGTTTGATTGTTTGTATTGTTTCGAAGGTAGTATGAGCAGTGGCTGACCGAGGATTTTGGGATAGGTGTGTCAGCTCATAAAAATAAGTTAAAAAAATAAAAATTAATTAAATAAAAATTATATAATATTTTATTCATATATTTCACTAGATTCATTGTTTTTAATTGTGAATCATGACGAGTTTTCATATTCTGAAAGATTTCTTAATGACATTTGTCCATTAGGTTGCAATCAAACCTTTTTTTATGTAAACAACTAAACAATATAATAAATTGGTCACTCACGCTCAACTGATACCAAAATATCATTCTTAATTATGCTCAAATATGAAAAATGTCATTTTGTAGTTGGCAGTTGCAAGAGGTAAGATAAACACAAATTTAAGATGGAAAAGCTGGAATGTGAAGCTGGAAAGGTGGCCACAAACTTCAAAATGGAAGTTTGAATGAGAATGAGGATGTCGCCGACGCTGACAATTGTAGGGTAGCGACAAATGTCAACGTGGAAAGCAATAACTAAATTAGAAAGTAAGTTGGAAATTAACTTAAAGAAAAATCTATGGAAGAAGCTACGGGGAAAGACGACATGTAATTCAATATCTAATTACTTGACTCAACCAGCTTATTAATCAATTTAATTCTCATTCAAATTACCAAGCTAGGTTATCTCTAAGGTGATAACTATCTCTCTAAATACTCACTACATACTAAGTGAGCAATTAATTGCTTACTCTTGTACAACCAACTAATTAACTACCTAGTCTAAAGTCCGATAACTTCTATATTTACATATCTTAATAATATTATGACAACAAAATTTTTGTAATGTAACAAGATGTGTTGGTTACAATTATTGAAGGTGTGTCGACGAGGTTCAGTATTCAAAATTTTTAAACCGGAAAATATGGGTTACTCACAAAAATTTCGGACCAAAATGTGTCGGGTGACACACCTACCTTACTACCTTAGTGGTGGGTCTGCCCTTGAGTGTGGGCATGTATGGATACTTACTTTCAGATCATCTAAACACGCCGACGATTGTATTCACATGAAAGATTTTGTTATTCTTATTTCGGAGCCAACCTTTTTTGTACTTCGGTTATTTTTTTTTTTAAATTGTCACGAATTGTGACCCGCCCTTTTGTTAATACACAATCATGTAAGTTTTTCTTATGTCGCGAATTGCTAATTCATGTAACTATGTAAGGCGTTGATCGTCACCTATGGCCAACACAAATGATCATCTACTAGGCACGGGTAACGATAGTGTCCATGCAGCACAATCAATTTTGGGGAAGGGAACACAACGCACGGAAAAGAGAGAGCTTTCACGTTGTCCAGTCCACTACTCGATCGCTTCTCACTTTGGGAACATTATTCAGAGGAAACCAGTTTGTTCTGTTCGTAAGATTAATCGCTCCATCGTCTCGATCATTATGGGGGTTCAACTTGTTAATCATTCGACTTGACGCTGTGCCCACATAATTAAGTGGTTCGTTAATCAGTCCTAATCATGCTTAAAGCGCCTTGTTTGACTGAAAGATGTACGTATAACTTAATGAAACTTGGCAGTTTGGCCTTGTTATTAGAGTGTTGATTCATTGTGACTGAGACAAGTGTCATAAACCAGTTGATTAATATTGGAAGTCATGAGAACTTGAACACGTGACCTCAAGGAAATAACCAGCTCTGATACCATGTCATAAACCAGTTGGTCCCAATAATTCGAGTTGTTGGGAGAAGGTTATGTTGGATTTTATACATGTCCGTGTATGGTGCTTAACTACTTCCTTACAACAATAACGAGAAATGCAAAAATCTGACACTCCCATCGATCATCAACAAACCCATCAAAATTCTATTTTTAGTATTTTCTAATGATTTCAAGATGAATTTATTGATGGTAGATTCACATAATCTTTCAAATCATGCTGGTGAGGACCTGCCCCCCATATAGTAACTTTAAACAAACATGATAATTAGGCATCAATTAATCAGGTAATGCACGCTTCCGTGGACGGTCCGGCATGCTCTAATTGGGGGAGGGGGGAGTTAGTGTTAATCCAAGCCCCAAATCACACTTAAATTTGACTTTTTTTTTGTAATGTGGATTATCAGGTGATTTGTCTCGTCGCATTGGTTAATTTCGTCCGACGTTATTACTCACCTTTTTCTTCCTTAAAGTCCCCAAAAAGCCACCGAATTGTCGGGTAAAAAAAAAAAAAAAACGAGCGATAAAAATCCTTTTTAGAATAAAAGAAATTTTAAATTGCTGTTATACAATATAGGGTGGTTTGGAAGTTGAAAATTTTCAAATGTGTATTTGATGAATACATGTATTGTAAATATAAAGATTGTAAAGAATGTTTTGTATTTTTTGTAACTATTCAAAATTTTTTAAAAAAAGAAAAAATCACTTTATGAGCTAAAAGTGCAACAAATTAAAGCCCACAATCTCAAAGGAAGAATCTCACATTTTTTGTTGAGATTTAAAAGGCTTAATACCCTAGTTTTGCCCGAAATTTGGCGTAAGTGTCATTTTTGGCCCGGAGTTTTCAATAAGACATTTATGGCCAATTTTTCAAATTAATAGACAAATTTGGCCTGCTATTTGAATTGACCGTCAAAACTGACTATTAACTATTTTTTCCGTCAGTGAGTCAGCACGCTGTGCTGACTAGGCTTATCCTTGTCACATTTTTTCTTAAATGAAAGAAAATATAAATTCAAATAAAAAATAAAACTAAAAAGATAGAAGGGATGGGTCACGAGGGGGTCACGAGGACCACGGTCTCCTCCCCTTCCCCATCGTTCACGCCTCCATCCATTCCCGACTCAGCGAGTCCGGCGATTCTTCCGCCGGCAGTCCGTACTGCCTCCGCCACCTGTCTTCTTCGCCAACCTCACCGCCCGTCATCTATGCCTGCCCTCGCCTCGCCGTCGGCCATCTCCGCCAGCCCTCGCCTCGCCGCCCTTGCCAGATAATCAGCCTATGATTTTCGATTCATTAACAGCTAGAGCAGAACCAGAACCGGTGAATTCGGTCTCCCTTAAATCAGCGTTGGGTTTCCCATTTTTGACTCCACTGGAGAAAAAAGGCGACGTGAACTGGAAGGGAAGATTCAGTTACAAAAGTGATAAAATTGAAGAATAGGTAGGGGAGAAGGGCTTCCTTCTAGATCGAAGTCCATATCTAAAATGAAAGGTCGAGCTCGGTGGCGGCGCGAACTCTCGGTAGGCGAATCAGATGGGAAAGCTGCGGCGGCGGAGTCTATGCTCGTGGAATCGATTAGTGAATTGGAGAAAATGAGCGATTTTGATTTGGAGTTCAAGGATGGGTTTTTGGCCATAGTGGGGTGATGCCATGAAGGGTTTTTGGGATCGGTGGAGGAAGCTAGAACAAGTTGAGCAGGGAAGAAGACGAGGCGTTTGCCGGCGACGGCTCGAAGAACGGAGGGAGATTGGAGGGGCAGACGATTCCACTCTAGGCAGAGGGATTTCGAGATCCATTACCCACCGCCCGCCGCCGCCACATAGGACTCCAAACAAGTACTTGCCCCACCACCACAACATCTTCCATTGTCGATTGAGGACGCTGTGGTGTGTTCTCCGGCGACCTTGACACATCAGAGAGAGGCGGCAGAGTGGACGGAGGAGGGAGACGGTAGGTCGTGAATTTTTGTCCAGGGGAAGGGTGGGGAAAGGGTTTGGAAGGATTTATTCATTTCAAATTTTAGATTTTCTTGTTTTTCTAGGATTTTTTTATTCTAAATAAATGATGTGGCAGTCACTTCAGAGACACCTCAACATTTTTTATGTTGAGTCATAAACGGGATAAGTTTTGATCGTCTGTTTTAACAGTCAAAATAAATTTTAGGCCAAATCTGTCCAATATTTTGAAAAGTTGGCCATAACTGTCTTATTGAAAAGTTGGGGCCAAAATCATCACTATCGCCAAACTTCGGGCCAAAATGGGGTATTAAGGGCTCGTTTGGAAGTTGGGATTTCAGATGATGTATTTAGCCAATACATGCAATCAGAAGAATTCATCGTTTTTTTTGGCTTAAAATGAAACATAATACTTGTATTTGAACAGCAGATGGGTCCACCAGAATCATTCATTATGAATGATTGTCAATCTCAACTTTTAGTAGAGATTGTGTTTGAGGGATTGTTGTCTTACTTTTTGTTCCTTATTCTTTGAGGGACCACCAAAATCATTCAATCTCCAAACAATGTATTTTTCAAATTCATACATTGAGACAATGCATCTAATTATAATACAATGCATCTAATTATAATTCATAAGTCGATTTAAAATGAGTGATTGTGGGTGCTATGAGATTTGAGGGTCCACCTCAAATGCATATATTGAATAAAGTTTTGAAACAAAAAACAATGGATTCTCCAGAATACATGAATTCAAAGAATCATTCATTTAGAATCATAACTTCCAAACGACCCCAGATACTTGGAATTATGGTCCATGAAAATGTACTAGAGATTGTACCGGAAAAGTCAACGGTATAATATTTTATGACAAAATCGTGGTTTATTCATAGTTCAACCATTAATATCGTCAAATATCGCCTAACCGTTTAGCTTTCAATATTGGTATTTTGTAATTGAACTGCTGGTACGGTACAGTTTCATGGGAAAAAATCCCAAAGTACACTAGTTCTTAAAAAAAATTCCCAAAATACATAAGTTATAAAAAAATTTCCAAAAGTGCACATGTTTGAGCATCACCGTTTTAGACAAAAGCGGTGAAGGTCATCACCGCTTTTGACCAAAACGGTGAATACTTCACCGTTTTAAACTAAAACGGTGATGTATTCACCGTTTCAAACTAAAACGGTGAAGGGTTCACCGCGTTTGTTAAGAACGGTGAATACCTCACCGTTTTAAACAAAAACGGTGAAGCCTTCACCGTTTTAGACTTCCACGGTGAAGGCGCTGACGTGGACTAACGCGGGGTATTCACCGCGTTAGACAAACACGGAGAATGAGTTTTACCGACCGCCTCGGTCTCAACATACACCTCTGCAAGCCGGACTTGGTTATCGCTTAGGAACTGTAACATCATCATAATCGCGTCATCATCGTTTATGACAACTTCTTGGAACACGACCCCGCCAGCACTCATGTCTGGATACCGGTAAGTAATTTTGCCAAGTCTCGTCTGTCCGCTCGTACAAACCCTTTCTGCACAAAGATCACAGAGTTCTTGAAAATTGAATCGGGGATCAATTTTCAGCATAATGGATTCGCCGTCCTCATAATCAATGCCTATGTCAGAGTTTGTCACCCTTCCATTCCACCGAATAGTAAGATGAAACTTCTTGAATTTACCCATATCTACAATTTACAATAAGTATCTATTAGCTTAAAGACAGTAAAATTAACCAAAATCATATTGTACAACTAATATTAAATCATACCATAACTAACGAAAATAAATTCAACTAACTAACAACAACATAATACGAAAATTAAATCATACTATAACTAACGAACATAAGTTCAACTAACTAACAACAACATAATACGAAAATTAAATCATACTATAACTACTAAAAACATAATTAGACTATAATACGAAAAGTCTCAACATACCGAAAAATTTCTGTTCTGTGTATTATGCTCGATTTTGGTTGCTGAAATTTGAAGAAAGGGGAGTGGTTATGTTTTTACAACTGCTGGTGGTGTGCAATTTATAGGAAAATCTGCCTACTATTCACCGTTTTTGTCAAAAACGGTGAACATCATCACCGCGTTTGTCTCAAACGGTGAATAGGTGGTAGCTGCGACCTAATTTTGACCTACCAGGGGTGGGAAACGTGGGAAATGATCACCGCGTTACTTAACAACGATGAATGGGTTCACCGTTTTTGACCAAAACGGTGATGTGTTCACCGTTGTTAATTAACGCGGTGAAAACTTAACCGTTTTAGTTTGAAACGGTGAATACTTCACCGTTTTTGTTTAAGACGATGAAGTATTCACCGTTTTGGTCAAAAGCGGTGATGACCTTCACCGCTTTTGTCTAAAACGGTGATGCTCAAACATGTGTACTTTGGAAAATTTTTTTATAACTCATGTATTTTGAGAATTTTTTTTAAGAACGTGTGTACAGTGGGATTTTTTCCCAGTTTCATGTACTATGTGAATATATGAGAAGCAGTGTGCACGCACGTACGTGGTTAAGATCCGGCGGAGTAGAAAGGATCTCAGGACCGCAGCCTATCTGTCAACACGCCACGTGTCTCCTTGTGCACATGTAATGTTTGGTGTCACCCGCACCCCAACTTTATCCCCTCCCCCGTGTGCTATACGAAACCAAAATAAAAAAACTCATCAATAATTACTAATTAGCCTTTTTTTCTTGTAAATAAAAATGCTTTTGTCGGGAGGAATATGCACTTCTCTTTTAATCAGAGGATGAATATGCAATTCTATCTTTACGTAAATATTCGACCTCTGAAATGTAGTTAAAACAGATTCGAATGGCTAACATGAGTTTGACCAAACGATATTATTGTTAATTTTTAATTTGAAGATTTTGTATTCAAATGAGACAATTTCCATCTTAACAAAGGATTATGATCATTCAAAGCTCGAAAATGCAACTATACTCAATCGTAATTTTTTTTAAAAATCCTAGTGATCTTATCAACTTCAAACCGAATCAAACCCAAAAAATAAAAGCCAAGAATGAGATGCGAAGCCTACGATTAAACTTGCCAAAAGACGAGATAAAAAGTTCGATCAATTGCCAAAATTTGTTTGGAATCTTTCACGTTCCAGTACTCAATGGCTCCCCCAGGCAAAGGGATATTCTCTCGCATGGTGAAAGGGTCAGAACTCAGAATCATGCTGTGTGTTTTGGAACATGAGAAGATGTTACCTGTCTGACATTTTTTTTTACCTTTGTTCATTGTCCTTCAAACGAATCAATATGTCACCAAGGTATAATAAGGAATTCTTCACCTCTGCCATTGTTGCTCCCCTTTCAGTCCTCTTTCTTCATCTATTGTGTCTGTGTGTAATTGAATTGGAGTCATATCAACCTAGACCAAGTCTCATCTACCCACTCGTCTTGTGTTACATTGTAATTACTTTCAAAGTTTTCTACATTTATATGTAATTAGGGTGATAATCTGGTTCGGTTCAATAAGATTGGACACACGAGAATAATATCTACAATTTAAAACATATTAAAAAACAGTATAATCAACCAATTTACCTCCATTATTTGTACAATTTTTTCCTCTTAATTGCTATCGAACTTAGTTACCCATTAACCAATCAAATCGTATGGAAGAGTCCCCAACTCTATCAAAATTTAAAATGTTTAAAATCTAGTTAAATCTCACATTTCATTAAATTTTAACACTGTACGATCCCATATATAGGTTACTAACAACTCCTCTCGCGTAACTAATGAAATAGATTTGAAGATCTATCTTTATTTTTTTATTTATTTATATTTCTACATTATTTGAAGATCTATTTCATTAAAAGGAATCGACCTTGAAATTCAAAATTACTTTTTCATGGCTACCTTTGTCGTACTATGTTATAATTAGAGCTCTTGCATCATTATTATCAGCATTAAAGGAGACAAGGATTTCCAAAAGGGAATAAGGAGGTAATTAAAAAGCCCATGTTAAAAAAATAATGGTGGTGAAATGAATAGATGAAGTCAGTGGAGTCGAGAGTCAGATGGGTAGCTAGCCAGATGATGAATATTGAATTGAATTGAATAGGGTCTCGACCAAAAACAGGCTTTGAAGATTCTCTCGTGCGAAACCAAATTTAAACAACTGGAGGCTGCATGTCGTGTCTGTAAACAGAACTCTATTGCCACTTCTGTCACCAGCTTCACAACTGGCTTTGGTCAGGCTGGTTTCCGACCGGTTTATAGCAGGCCGGGCCAGTCTCCGAAGAAGAAGAACCATCCTCCTAGCTGCACCTCCCACCAAACTTTATCATTTCCTTTTTTTTTCTTTTTATGTTTAAGCCAGCTAGCTAGATTTAGATTTTAGACAATCTCCATCCTAGAAATGATTTTTAGCAATTTCTAGCCATCTCCATTCCAGTAATTCTCTAGCAATTTCTATTGGTAGGATCCAGAATATGTCCATAATATTTTTTTCATAGTTAATAATAGATAATTCATAATTTTTTTTACAATCTTATATTTATGCACAAATTAGAGTTTAGTAAATTGTTGTACATGTGTATTTTGCTAAACTTTGTTTCCTTTCTTGCTTTATTATCAATCTTTCGTATTTTTTTATTATCATAATCGTAGGTGTTTTTTATTTAGAAGTGTTTCTTTCTAGTTTCATGAACGAATGTTCAATTATAGCTATGCGTTTTCTTTTTATTTCATATTTGAATGATAAATATCTCATATATAATTCATAATAAACAAATGTGTTTCATAATTAATTCTCTAATTAGTTATATATATGACTCTTTTCTATCTATTGAACAACTTAAAAATGATAATGCACAACAACACGATTTTAGAGGAAAAGGAAATTAAATAAATCAAACCAAAGAAAATGAAAGTGGGTCCCAAGTGCCTAGGTGACATTGCTAGAGGACTTGCTAATATAGCAAGGTTGCTAATTTAGCAATCACTCTTACATCCCTAGCAATTGTTAGAGAAGTGCCACCTCACCCTCCACTCCACTTTAGCAATTGCTAAAGATTGGGGATGAAGATGGTCTCACGGCAAACCAGCTTAGTTGAGTTTGGGTGTAATTTTTTTTTATAATGGTGAGAGTTTGGGTGTAATTTTACTAATATGAGTTAGATTATCAGCGGGCTAACTTTATGTATACTTTTTTTGACAATCAGAGCATCCTTATATTCCATTCAAAAAGAACCCAAATGTTCGTTACAACAATGGTGCAATGATATTAAGAATTAAGATCCATTCCAAAGGTAACGAAGCATCCCTAACTTGACAAGCAACCCAATCTGCAAGTCGGTTAAGCCGTCGGGGAACAAACTCAATCCGGATCCAAGGAGCAGACCGAAGAAGGAGAGACATCTGAGCAATGGTAGCTCGACAATGCCATGGCCATGCCGAGGAGTCCTGATTGAGAGCAAGAGAAAGCACTTGGCAATCCGTACGGATGCAGGTAGGAATCCCATCTTGAACCGCAAGCAGGATGGCGTTGAGGAGACCAAGGGCTTCAGCCTGAATCGGGTGCGAACACAGGAAAGTCTCAGCCTTGCCGTCGTACACCTGACCATGAGAATTGGCAATAGTAATCCCATAAGCCACCAATCTCGAGTCGGAAACAAACGACCCATCACAGTATATCACTCGAGAGAAAGGCGGTGGTGGGGTGTTGGAACGGGAACCCCTAGGCTGAGGGTGCAATAGAGTCGGTTGGAAAGAAGAGGAAAGAGCAAGAGAAGTCCGCGATTCCTCCCATTCGATGAAGTTATGACCCGACTTAATTGCGGATGAGGCCGGGGAAGGAGCCATGTTGTCGAAGATGAAAGCGTTCCGGGCAAGCCGAATATTCCAAAGGTGGTATGCGATCTTGCAAACATGAGCGTCAGAGTAGGTGTCCTTTAGGTTGAAGAACTAAGAGGCGAATGAGGCATCTTGAGAGGGAGGAGCAATCAATCCTGAGAGATGCCAAGTCTCTGATGCATGCTGACAATGAAAGAGGTTGTGCAAAATCGTCTCTGGCGCGTCACAGATGGGACAATTTGGGCTGTTGCACAAGATCTAGAGAAAAGTCTTTCCCTTGTAGCAATGGCTCTTTTTGAGCATTTCCAGATAAAGAAACGAATTTTTGGTGGGAGAGCCAACGACCAGAGCCACTTCCAATTGTTGTTGGCAGGTTGATTATGCATGATTGGTGGTGTAGAAGTTTGTTGATCACGGCTTTCACGAAGAACATGGTAGGATGATCGGAAAGTAAAATTATCATTAGAAGTATGTTTCCATGCCCAGCTGTCCTTTGACTCCGTCGGTCCAATCGGGACACGACTGATCGCCTCCATGACATCTTCGGAACAAACATTCCGAAGGGCCTCCACATCCCATGTAGGTGATGGCAATGGGTCGGGTCGGGGCCGGATAATGCATATCCGTTACCCTATCCAAAGTAGTTCGGGTTTTACCCATACCCACATGTAAAACGGGTAAAAAATCAAAACCATGCCCATACCCGTTCGGGTTTCGGGTATCCACGGTTATCCATGGGTAATCATTTCTCATTACTCCAACCAATATGTTAACATTCATACGTATTCTTACATTACGTAAGAGGAAAAGTGCAACAATAATTCACTAGAATGAGGAAAATTAATTAAAACAACACAATTTCATGAAAATATTATATTTATTTGCTAAATATAAAATATGTTAGAGAAAAATAATAATTATATATAGATAAAATACATATGTATGTGTATAATTGGGCGGGTTTGGGTTTGATAGTGAGAAACCCATGCCCACCCATTACCAACAATATTCGGGTTCGGGTTTTACCCTACCCGATTAGGCCGGACCCGGGTGGATATCCACGGTTACGGATATTTTTGCCATCCCTAATCCCATGCTCTCTCATTCAGCTGAATCCAGTTACTGACTTGCGACGGGAGGAGGTTGAGGCAAGATAACGAGTGGGAGGGGAAGGCAGGGATCCAAGGATCTCGATGAAAGTCGGTATCATCGCCAGACATGATCACTCGGATCATTCCTCCTTTAAGGGCGTCTTTAGCATGTTTTCTCTCATGCTAGCTTTTCCAAAAATAACTGTGTCATCCGCAAAGAGACAATGAGAAACGGTTGGACAATTTTGGTTGAGCTTAATGCCTTGGATATCACCCTTTTGAACCCCTTTTTTGATGAGGAAAGAGAGGGCATTAGACATAATGATGAAGGGGAAATGGGAAAGCGGGTCTCCCTGGGGAATTCCTCTTGTCGGGGAGAAGTACTCTGTGGGATTACCATTAAGCAGGACAGAGAAGCTAACAGTACTGATACATTGGCTGACCCAACCTCTCCATTTTCCATCAAAACTGTAAGCTTGGAGGATGGCCTCCAGACAGTCCCAGTCAACAAGATCATAAGCTTTCCTCATGTCAAGCTTCATCATCATATCCCAATTACCACTGGTCCTTCTGTTCTTGAAATTGTGGAGGATTTCATTGACTAAAATAATGTTATCTTGGATCATTCTCCCTCCAGTAAAGGCAGTTTGAGTATCCAACACAAGGGACGACATCCATATTTTCAATCTTGAGGTCATGATTTTGGAGATCACCTTATACCTGAAGTTGCAACAGTTGATCAGGCTAAATTGACACACCGATTCTGGGGATTGGACTTTGGGGATGAGTGCAATGTTCCACCCTTCTGGCATTATGGAAGAGGAGAAAAAATCTATAACTTCAGTACATAAATCGCCCTTGATTTTGGTCCAGAATTTACGAAAGAAGAGACCCGCAAAACCATCAGGGCCAGGGGACTTATTTTGTCCAAGATCAAACACAGCAGACTTGATTTCTTCCTCAGTAGGGGGTTTGCACAGGTCAAAATTCATTTCATCTGTTACAAGCTTAGGAAAGTCCTCGAGGATGCAAGTGTCAGGCGCTGGAGTAGATTTGGTGAAGTGGGATTGGAAATGATTAGAGACATGGTCTGCAATCTCTTCTTGTTGGATGATGATGTTACCTTGATCATCCTTGAGTGAAGCAATCTTGTTCCTTTGCTTGCGGTGCACAGTCGAGGTATGGAAAAAATTAGTATTTTTGTCCCCTTCCTTAAGCCAACTAACTCTCGATCGTTGGCTCCAGAATAGTTCCTCATCTTTCCATATAGCTTCAAGTTCAGTCATGAGGTCTTTTTCTTCTTGAATGAGCATAGGATTAGGCTGGAGTTCTAAGATTTCATTTAGTCTAATCTGGATAGAAGTAGCTCTTTGGGTTTGATCCTTGTAGACTTGTTTCGCCCATGCCTTCAGCTCTTTTTTCACATTTCATAAGTCTTTCCTCACAAGAACCACCAGAGTTCCAGGTATGATTAACAATCTCATAACATTCTTCTCTTTGCAGCCAACGTGCATCAAATCGGAAAGGGCATCGATTTTGTCCACTGGTCCCATGAAGTTGCAGTCTTAAGGGGCTGTGATCAGATTCCAATTTAAGTTCATGGAACAAAATCGCATCACTATAGAGTGTTCTCCAAGATGCTGAACATAGTACTCTATCAAGCCTTTCTTCAATTCTTCCTTGATTCTCTTGCTTGTTCACACAAGTAAAGGGGTACCCATTATAGCCAATATCAAGTAGTGCGTATCTTCAATAAAGTCTTTGAAAGGGGTTACAGAGTCATTCCTGAGGGCTCCTCCACCCCTCTTCTCCTCCACGTACAAGATAGCATTCATGTCCCCCATAATCAACCATCTATCCTCCATATGATCCCTTAGGTAACTAAGTTTATCCCAAATTTCCCTTCTAGCAGCAGCATTTGAAGGAGTATGAACAAAAGTTACAAAGAAACCTCCGCCTAAGTCTACAAACGCATCAATAAAGAAGCTATTACAGTCCAAAACATGAAGTGGCAAACCCTGCACCCACCATAATGCTAATCCACCTGCCCTGCCAACAGGTGGCACATAATGATGCTCCGCAAACCGTAATCGTCTCCTTTTCTTCTCCATATAGGAGTCTTTTTTCTTTGTCTCGGACATGAATACGATCGATGGTCTATGTCGATTAACCATCTTTCGCAACTGACGAACTGTAGGTTCTTGTCCAAATCCCCTACAGTTCAATGCTAAGTAGTTCATGGATTCTCAGGTGGCTTGGATTGAGCCACCAATACCTCAGCAACACCAGGTCCGTAGCCTGGTGGGATTTCCACATCTTCTTCATCCTCCATTGTGTCTTTTTCTTCATTCACCTCTGCCCCTGTTTCATAAGCCAGAGCATTTCCTTCCCCTGCATCTTCAGTAACCCCTTCACATGGTAAGCCCGCCTTTCTCTTATTCTTTTGAATGAATGAGCTTGATGCATTTTTCCTGGTGGGGTGAGAACGATGGGTAGAACGTTGGTTATATTATATGTAGGACCACATATATGGAAGGTTAGAATTTTTCTGACTTCATTTCAATAACTTAATTTTTGACGCGATATTTTCATTGGTTCTTGATATAATATTTACATTTTTTTGTTACTGAAATATATTATACTAACCACTAAGGAATGGTGAAGTTAGTAAATGAGCATGTTTGATTCAGGTGGTTATCTCTTGGTGGTCATTGATAGAACTGTGTGCAAGACTGAATTGCTTTTATGAGTTTGTCGACTGTTAAGAGGGGTCAAGGTTTGCCATCTTAAGGGATTTCCCTTGTAATAATAAAAAAAAAATAATATACTATACCTTACCGTCAAATAGAAGAATTTAATGAAAAAATCGATAAAACGGTAGGATTTATATTGTAAAACCTAAATAAATAACTATGAGGCAAAAGATGAAAAAAAATGTCAACACAAGATAACCACTAACGGTTTCCATCTCCAACACCCTTTACAGTATAGTTAAACAATACGAGTTTGTACTGGAAATTGATTTTATATTAATACCAAAGCTTCATCATTGTGTTAGCATATGCATAAACAATTATACATAGCGGCGTAGTGTAATTGAGAGTGGTCAGATGGGAAAGGCTATGAATTCTGTTGTTTCTTTCTTGGTTTAATTATTTGTCTTTTAATTTGTTTATTCAAAGTTTTGAAATTAGACAATGATGATTAGCCAGTAGTGCGTATTGGGATGAAAGGGGGGCAGGTTGTCTGGTAAAAGCAAAGCTATTTGATATTTTGTACAATTTCTCAGCAGTATCTTTAAGTTACTTTGGCAGAGGGAACCTTAGTGGAAACACTTCATTACCCTCCAGTCTCCTCTGCACAATGGAAATATTTTTTATACATATAATTTAAAATATAAAAAATACATAGTATATACTGGATATTTCTTTTCTATTTCAAAATAAAATGAAGTGACCCAAGCTTCTTAATTTAATCCATTTTGATTAAGACTCGTTAAGATTATATTCGTATATTGATTAGTGAAGAAAATTTCAAACTAGGTAATGGATGCTCTAATATATATATTTTTGGGTATAATATCATATGCTTCAAAAAGACTTACGTTTGTCCATACCTAGGCGCTAGGCAATAACAAGGTAGAGATCAACATCGAGTTAGGAATTCGGAACGGGGCAATGGAGTACGGCGACACTTAGGTGTCGGTGTAATTAGGTGGAGGTAGGAAGTCATCTACAAACTCAATCTTCTCAATAATGAACTTTGTGAGCTATTCAGACATGAATCTATAAACTTGAGAGCTATATATTTTTCATATTGTTTGGTGGTAATTAGTAAGAGTTATTAATAATTTGAACTAAAGTGGAAGCGGTGTAAAACAACTATTTCATTCGTCATTTAATATTAGCGGTTATATTTCCTTTTAGCGCCTGGACACATTTAGACGACGCCAGGTGCTAGGTATAACCCCAACACCCATCTTACGTCTATCACCTTCTTGAATCTAGTCGTAATAGATCCGCACACACTGAAACTAACATCTTTAAGTTCATTGGTTTCAACATTCGAGACTACAACTACTAGACCAAATTTGTACAGGCGATACTCCAATATTCTCTTCTTCGATCTATCATAACTTCATTTTGTTCAAATTGCCACCCTAATGTGTGCCATATATGGTCCTCTAGCTAAGTGGTGTCTGTGTTGAAGTAGAAACTTTTACTTCTCTACGTGAATTGTTGAGCTTCTCTTTTTTATCTGTTTTCTTCGCCAGCTTTCGGCTAGGGCACTGTTGTGCTTCATTAGGCTAACTCACCTGATTTTCGCTCCCATGAATGGTGTATTTGAGATTGTGGATTGAATTCCATGCAATCGTTAGCACAAGACCTCAAAGTAGTACCAAACTATGGTTAACCAACTTGGAATTAGGAACCCGAGAGAAGTTGGATGAGTGAGAGAGATGAAGGGTGGATGCATAGTGAGATGTAACGCGGTCACCATCCTAATTTTCATTGGGGTGTTCTAATTAGTTAACGGTTGTTGAATTAGAAATTTTCCGATTCACAATCGTTGGATGCCCGCAATCAATAATAGTTAATTTTCATTGCGTGCATCCAAAACTAAGATTCTAACAATTATGAACATTATAACCTCAAAGAGTATTACTGTATTAGAATTGCAGTAGAATTAGGTTACATGATGGTAGGGTTAGCTTTAGAAAATTTTCCAACTTGAGGTGGAAGGAAGGAAGGAAGGAAAGCATATAGGGATGAGAATGAGATTTATTATCTCGAGAGGGAGAGCGCATGGGCGCGGGGATCCCACCTTACCCATAATCGATGCCCCTCGTGCGTGCTCTCTTCCTTATCAATGGCGGCTCCCTCCATTCTTCTTCATCATTAATGGCATGCTGCCAAAAAAACAACACACCCTGTACAATAGCACACCTAGCTCCCTCTAATGCAAATCTAATCAACAAACCAAGTATGATTACTTCCTAATCCCTATACTTACTTTCTTCATAAACCCATTTAATTAGGAGCAATATGGACAAGAGTATGTCTGCAAATGATCATGAACAAAATCCAGTAATGAGTCAGTTACTTACCTTGATCCATCCACTTATACGGAATAACAAAAGTAGCGAATGCGTATTTGTATGAGTCGTGGTAGCTTTCATCTTGTCGATTATGTATACGGTTGCCATTGTCAAATATGTTTGATTGACAGGATGATGGTATTTGGCAAGATCATCACCATTCCCTCCTAATAACTAATCTAATCTCATCCCACCTTTCACTTTGAACACTTTTCCCCTCTCTTGATGATCATAGTTTAGTAAAAATAGCCCCTCCATAGTGCGATTGGGGGTTGTCTTGTCAGCCAAGAAGCAAAAGCAAGAGATAAAAGAAAAAAAGGGTGGCCATGGAATGTATATAGAAGAGAGAAGAAAAGGAAGAAGAATGTGGGAGACAACCCAAAAACACATTTGAAAGGGCTATTACTAGTTTGACAGAAAGAGGACCCTTTCTTTTCTGTCCCCACCACATTGACCCTCTTCTCCCTCGCAATTCCACTTCACAGTGAGGCTTTGCAGTAGCCATTGCCAAATCCTGTGTGTATTTATACCCATCAGCCACCTTCATTGCTCTCCACACTTACACACCAATTCTCTTCCCCACCCTCCCTTTTGCTCATCACCTTCCACCAATCTTCAACCATGGCTGACAATGGCGGCTCAGGTGGGAGTGGTGGCTCTGGAGGCAGAATGTGGTGCTCGGTGCCTGAAAAGATGCAACTGCACTTGGCCATGTTGGCCTTGCAGTTTGGTTATGCTGGCTTCCATGTCGTCTCCAGAGCTGCCCTTAATATGGGCATCAGCATGCTGGTTTTCCCTGTCTACAGAAACATCATCGCCCTGCTTCTACTCCTTCCCTTTGCTTACTTCCTTGAGAAGTACGTTACTTTACATCTCCTGCAAATTTCTCTGCAGCCAAAGCTTGTTCATTTTGTGAAAGCTTTATGATCACGCATGTACGTAGTTCTAATGGATTGATTGATCATGATCTTGATACAGGAAGGAAAGACCAGCCATCACCCTCAACTTCCTAGTTCAGTTCTTCTTCCTGGCTCTTATTGGGTATGTTCATAATGTTCAACTTATAATACGAATTGAACCTGAAAAGGGCTATATGAAAATGGAACTTACTGACCTGCTAGGGTTTTCTTTCTTTCATTCTCTGTGGCATTTTCACAAACAGTATCACTGCAAACCAAGGCTTCTACTTGTTGGGTCTGAACAACACTTCCCCAACCTTCGCCTCCGCCATCCAGAACTCCGTCCCGGCGATCACCTTCCTCATGGCCGCCATTCTCCGGCAAGTTCCCTTCCATTTTCCCCCTCTTGCTCGCTCCAAATTCGTCCAACTTTTTTAAAAACTAAACAGAGCTTCCCCTGTTTTTTTTTCCACAGAATCGAAAAAGTACGATTCGACAGAAAAGACGGGATCTCGAAGGCCCTAGGGACCCTCTGCTGCGTCGCCGGAGCCACCGTCATCACTCTCTACAAGGGTCCGGCGATCTACACCCCAACTCCGCCGCTAACGAACCTGCTCGCTTCCTCTGCCTCCGCCGCCACCTCATCCGTGCCCAGCTACGTCTCGAAGCTGGGAGACGAGGCCGACAGCGGGAACTGGACACTGGGTTGCATCTTCCTAATCGGCCACTGCCTTTCCTGGTCTGGCTGGCTCGTCTTGCAGGCCCCGATCCTGAAGAAATACCCCGCCAGACTCTCCGTCACTTCCTACACTTGCTTCTTCGGCCTCCTCCAGTTCCTGGTCATCGCGGGCATCGTCGAGCGCGACTCCCAGGCCTGGGTCTTCCACTCCGGCGGCGAACTCTTCACCATCCTCTACGCGGTCAGTACAATAATGAATCAATTGACCCTTAGTCAAATTTGGTTCACAAGTAAAGAGTAATTAAGTTAAGCGGATCAAATAATGGATTAAGCTAACATTAATTGAGGTGAAACAATGTCCTATTCGGGATTGAATTCGACCTGCCCTGCTGTAGGGCTGCTGCAGTTAGACTGGTTGAAGTGACATGAGAAATGGGTTAAGGGCAGGTGGTCAATAATAGAAAATGGTCCCTTCATATGGGTGATGGAGAAGCTTCTTTTTTTGCTTTGATGGCGGTGGTGGTGGTCTTTAATTTTGTAGGGTTGGTTTTGTTTGCAGGGAGTGGTGGCATCTGGGATCGCGTTTGCTGTCCAGATATGGTGCATTGACAGAGGGGGCCCTGTGTTTGTGGCCGTGTATCAGCCTGTTCAGACCCTTATCGTCGCCATTATGGCCTCCCTTGCTCTCGGCGAGGAGTTCTTCCTCGGAGGGTAAGCCCTTTTTTTTTTTTTTTTTTTTCCTGTCGGTCGAGCAACTTCGTTCCTTCGCACTACCTTACCAACGGTTTGGCTTGAACTGCGGAAATGACAAGGGCACGAGGGGGAAGTGGGGGCAGAGGAAGAAGAAGAGAAAGATGATTTTACCTTTCGAGTTTTAATTATTGGTTGGTTGGGTTGGTTGATTGCTGATTTGTTGTTGTTTTCTGTTTGGCGTGGGCGTGGATGCACAGGATTATTGGGGCAGTGCTGATCATAATCGGATTGTACCTCGTGTTGTGGGGCAAGAACGAAGAGAGGAAGTTTGCGAACCTTGAGAAGGCTGCGATCCAGTCAGGGCAGGACCAGGGAAGCAACAACAACGGCAGCGGCAGGATCCACGGCCACGTCAAGTCTGGTCTCAGTCAGCCGCTGCTGCCTCCGTCGGAGAACGTTTGACCATTTCCTTCTCTGGTTAACTACATGCCTGGGCCTGGGCTGAAGGAAAGATGAGCAGATTTCAACGAGGCCCAAAAGAGAAATGGAAGGGGAAAAAATTGGAAGAAAATATGTTCTACTAAACAAGGCCTTGTTTGTGTTGTGTGTGAATGAAAGCTCTTTATTTTGGGTTTCTGTTGGGGTTTGTGGTAGTAAGTAGCTATATAGGAGATTTTGAGGACTAGGGAGGGATGGATATGGAAATTTGGGTACTAGGGTGGGTTTATGTCGTTGTTGTAGAATGTCGAATTTCCAGTTTGGTTCTTGCCCTCTCTTGGTGCCCGCCATGCTTTGCATGTTTAACTTATATATATGATATGGTTTGCTTTCATTAATGGGACATATGATTGAGCAAAGCAATTAGATGCTAATAACTGGTTACATTTATAATTATAAGGATATATGTATCGATAATAATGCCTAGTTAGTTAATATACATCATCAAGTATCCAATTACAAATAATAAGTGTATTGTGGTATGTGGATGACCATGAAGTAGGTTTAAGGTGGATATATGATGATCTTCATTCCCGGATCCGAAACTTCTACCGTTTTCATCTTGTGTAGTCAAAATTTTATGTTACTCATCCTTGTTGCAACTTGTTTCTATGTACCTAGCCGGTGAATATAATCGAATACATGTTAATTTTTTATTGTGTTTATCAAATTCGAGTTAATCTACGTATGATTTTCTTTTGATCTATAGGGATAAACGTGCTTAAGAAAGTAGGGGGTGAGAAAATGGTTGCAGTTTTGCGGTTAAACCGAAATTGCACCTAATAAGCGCGGTTTGAGGTTAATATATAGATAACTATTTAAGTGAGGTCTTATTCGATCGCGACTAGTAGGACATGTCATTTTACGGTTTGTGAACTAACCGCAAACAATAAATACATAACCGAATAACTAACCGCAATTTCACTAAATTATAGAATATTTGACTCGAAGAAATGCTTCATGTTGATGATCTATGCTGGTTTTCCTCTTGCAAAGTGATTCTTTTGCATTTGGACCCACGTTTTCCTTTCCCCCCAACAATAGACTGAACAAAACAAATGTCTCAATGGAATTGTTTTTCTTTCCATTGATTTGCTTTATTTGCTAAAGAAGGCCAAGCATGCTATATTTTTATGCATCTTTGATAATCATTGCTCTTTCCCAAATAACATAATTCTGGTCGGCTACTTGTTTCTCATTCCCATTTTTCACCCATTTTTCTGTTTCATCAACCACCACTGCTCATATGTTTATATGTGTTTAAAGTAAGGTTATTAAACCGATTAAGTCAATCGGTCGAATTTGGATTAACTCAATGGACATGAGCAAATGTGTGATGAAAGAAGCAGAGGGATGACCCGGGCCGTGATGGAGAAGAGCACAGAGAGAGAGAGGAAGGATTTGGCTGATTCGGTCGCTCGACCAGTCCATCAAAATCAAATGATTCTATAATTGATTTCGATAGAATTCAACCAGTCCATCAAAAACCAATAAGATGGTCAGATAAGGTCTAACCCAGTATTATAGATCAACTATAAACTTGTTTCGCCTATAGTACTATGGCTAAGCGCCTAAGCCTATAACAATAGCTAATAATGTCATATACTTAAAACAACACTACTACTACTACTAAGAAAGATGCCCAAATATGAAGCACTACCTAGCTAAAGGTGGAGCAGCAAGCTGACAAGATTTTTAGGTAAGATTTTGTGGTTGACGATGGAGTTAACGGATCCCCAAGACCAAAATGATTAAAGGCAAACGAATCATTTTGGGTTGGCTAATAATGAACCCATGCTTAATCAATCAATTGTAGCACACATACACGAACACTTTTTATAAATATCTTCTCAAAAAGGGGCGTTAATAGTTAGTACCAGTAGTTGTGGCGACTAAGAAGATGAAGAGAGATCTATAGTCATCATTTGGTTTCGATTTTAGCTAGTGATGTGAATGGCATTTTCATTATCGACTGTTTTGTGAATGCATTTTTCTCGTCATTAATTCAACAATTTTGTGTTTATACTTTCAACCCAATTAGCTATAAAATACACAACCTACTAAAATACTATATTACCACTAATACTTTTCAAACGACCAAAATCGTTGGGGCATCCAGCAATTTTGTTGCAAGATCTTTGGGATCCATAGAATTTTCCAAATTGTTGTCATTACAAACGATTTATCAAAATAGAGACGGAAGCCATCGATTTTGCAACCAAATCGCAGGAAGACCAACTATTTCCACACAATATACGTCAAAACTTCAGATGATCATAATTTTGCGCTTGGTTATCGGATCGATGTAAAATATTTTTTTCTTACTTAGCATAACATTTAAAGATCTACACAACCGGGAAGTCAAAGGTATTTTGGTTTCAATTTTCCCGAAATTTACTAATTTAGTCGTCCAAAAGTGCATTTTTCCATTTTGCCAAACTTTGGAGGGGCGTAACTTTCTGCTCTAACATCCAATAAGCAGAAACTTACTTTTATTCGCGTGAATTTTTAAGGAATACCATTTTATTAGTGTTCATTTTGAGAAGAGGGCATATTTATGGATTTTAAGGGCTTTGAGGCTAAACATAGTTTTTTCAGCTTTCAACATATACTTTGAAAATTGTCCCATAACAAAAAGTGTAGTCTTTGAAAAGTTACCGAGAATAGTTTTTTTTGTACTGATTAGATGCACATATATTTTAGTGTGCTCACCAGCCATAATCAACCTATTGAAAAGGGAGGTGCTATTTGTAGAGCTAAAATTTAAAAATTACAATAATATCCACCCATAAGATAAGAACCTCCTTAAGTTAATTTCAGCCAATAAATCAATCATAAGTAGTTAGTGGATAGTTAGCCGTTTTTAGACAGTTAAGAGTACTGATGGTATTAGAGTTTTAATTTAATTAATTGTTGTGCTATTATTTATTAATTGTAACCCATTTTTCACGTTCATGCGTAAGGTTTTTTCTCTCCAGGATTTTCTGTTGCCGGCGACACAGTTTCTTGTTTGTGCGGCGAAGATTTTTTCTGTTGCCAAGACTTGTCCGGCTCCGGTTACGATCGACCTCCAGCCGTTTCCTTCTTGGCCATTCGTATTCTTTCCTCCGGTGAGCTATCGCTTTCCTTCTCGGTCGTTCATTTTCTTTCCTCTGAGCAGAAACTCACAGTCATTCGTATTCTTCACGGTAGTTCGTATTCTCTCCGTAGGTTTGGTTTAATATCAATGATTTGTTTGTTTAGCAGTTTTCAAAGATCCGCCGTTTTAAAAGATTAGATGGTTTTCTATAACAGTAGGTTGCGTGTTGTTAAGAATTATTGCTCATGTTATTAACATGAAAGACTTGCATTATCAACGTCATTCATGCTTTAAAAATGTTTATGTCCACAAGTTTCATTGTCGGTCAAAAATTTTGGTCACTGTAATTATCAACAAATTGTTTTAATTATTCAACGGTTTGTGAAGTTGGTATTAACAAAAATGGATACATGGTTAACGCGTGTGTTTCTCTTTATTAATTTGTCACTTAGAGTAGCATTATTAACACATTTGTTGTGATTTGTAATGTTTATGTTCTGTGTTGTTAACACTTATAATCAAATTATTAACATACATGTAACCGATGGCCCTTGTTTGTCAAAATTATTTGTCATGTCATTAATAGGATGTGGATCGATGGTTGTTTAGCATTTGTATTTTAATTATTAACACATGAGCGACTTTTATTAACAGGTAGAGTTGTTCATTATTAACATGCGGCTTGTGTCATTAGTAATAGAATTTAATTGATTGCTAACATCTTACTACATAATTAGTATTTTTTAGTTATTTTCTATCTTAATATGAATTTCAAAGGTGCGGTTTACGGGAATATGCCGAAGACCATGTTGTTGACAGTGCTGCAGAATTCAGAAAGGATTAACCTATGAAGATGTTGTAAACCAGTGATAATGTTATTCAAATCGTTAATAATGATGTAGCATAGCTTTAATAATTTCTGTATAAGCGTTGATGACGAAAATGTAAATCAATAATATGTAAATCAAGCTTTCGACGGAGCTAGAGAAGGTCTTGGAACAAGAAGAGTTGTTGTGGTTCCAAAGATCTCGGGAGAACTGGGTCAAATTTGGGGAGAGGAATACCTCCTACTTCCACCAGCTAGCTAAGATCAGAAGGAGGGCAAACAAGATTGCTTGTCTGAAGGATGAGAGTGGGGAGTGGGTGTCGGATAGACATCAATTAGCCTCTATGATTTTCCAGTTTTACTCTAACCTGTATCTGCAGGATAACACGATCTATGAGGACTTGATGCCTCGAGGAGCTTTCCCCCACCTCAGTCTTGCGGATCTGAACCAGCTGCTCCGCCCCTTCACCATCCAGGATGTGCACCAGGCTGTTTTTGATATGAAACCGCTCCAGGCCCCGGGCCCGGATGGGTTTCAAGCTATTTTCTACCAGCACGCTTGGAGGACTGTGGGGAAGTCCCTTACTGACATGGCCATCTCGTTTTTTGAGGGAGGTGAGCTTCCAGATGAGGTTTTTGCTTCTACAGTGGTGCTCATCCCCAAAATTGAGAATCCTGAGACTGTTGGGCAACTCCGGCCGATCTCTCTTAATAACGTCAGTCTCAAGGCCATCACTAAAGCCATGACTAGCAGGTTGAAGTCTGTTATGAGCACTCTGGTCTCTCCTCGACAGATCAGCTTTATTCCGGGCCGGCAGACGACGGACAATATCCTGATTGTCCAGGAATTTTTTCATTCTATGCGCAAGCGTCGAGGCAAGAAGGGAGGGTTGGTAATGAAAATTGATCTTGAGAAGGCGTATGACAGGCTTAGATGGGATTTTCTTCGGGATACTCTCATTGAAGTTGGCCTCCCGAGCTCTTGGATTCGCTGCATCATGTACTGTGTTGAGAAGAATGCTATGCGTATCCTTTGGAACGGAGAACTCTTGCAACCCATTTCCCCGACCCGATGAGTTAGACAGGGAGACCCTCTTTCACCCTATCTCTTTGTTTTATGTATGGAACGGCTTTCTCACAGAATAGACCGGGCTGTCCAGGAAAAGCTTTGGAAACCTGTTAGATTGTCGCCAGGGGGCCCGACATTAACTCATCTTTTTTTTGCAGATGACCTTATCCTGTTTGCCGAGGCGGAAAGCTCGCAGGTCCGGATCATCAAAGACTGCTTGGATGAGTTTTGTGATAGCTCTGGCCAGAGAGTGAACTTCAACAAATCCTTGCTCTATGTCTCACCGAACATCGGTCAGCCTCGTGCTCAGAGGTTAAGTGACAGGGCTGGCATTCCTTTGACCCTTAATTTGGGGCGCTATCTGGGGCTGCAAGCGATCCATGGGAGAATCACTAAGAGTAGATATCAGCCCCTAGTTCTCCAAATTCAGAAGAAACTTGCTCCCTGGAAGTCTAGGCGCCTCTCCCTTGCTGCGAGGATTACAGTGGCGCGATGGGTGTCTCTCGCTATCCCTACTTACCCCATGCAGACTGAACTAATCCCTATGAATGTTTGTAAATCTATTGACAAGATTAATAGGGATTTCATCTGGGGAGAGAGAGAGCAGCAAGGAAGGATGCATCTGGTGGCCTGGGAAAAGCTTACTGAGCCAAAGAATCAAGGTGGTGCAGGCTTGAGACCCCTGAGACAAGCTAATCTAGCTCTCCTGGCTAAAGGCGGCTGGCGATTGCTTCAAGAGAAGAATTCCCTCTGGACTCAGGTCTTTCGAGCCAAGTACGGACGCCAACGGGAAGGATTAGATCTGTTCCGCCAAAGTCAGGGAAGTTCTTTTGCCTGGAGGAGCTTTGTTAAAGCTTCTAGTTTATTGAAACAAGGTTGTGGGTGGAATATCCACAGTGGGAAAGACACTAACTTTTGGTGTGATCTTTGGTTGATGCAGGTACCGCTCGTGGAGTTGGCTCTGCAACCAGTGCCAAGCGAGATGATGTCGGACCCTGTTGCTGATTACCTCGGCGATGACGGTACTTGGGTCGTGGAGCGTCTGGCCTCCTGGCTGCCTGCGGAGGTCCTGCAGAAAGTGACCGCGGTGGCTGTTGACCCTCTCTCCACCGAGAAGGACACGATCTTCTGGACGGAATCCTCGAATGGATGTTTCTCTACGAAAACAGCCTACCTTTTGGCTAACCCGCCCCGGTATGAGCCCCGACAGAAGTTGTGGAAGCAAGTGTGGCAGCTCCCTGTTCCGGAAAGAGTTCGGTGCTTTGCCTGGCTGGTTTGCTTGGGCAAGATCGCGACGAATCAGCTGAGGTTCTCCAGAAAGTGCTCTCCGTCCTCATCCTGCTACCGCTGTGAAGATGTTGCTGAGACCGTTTGTCATGTCCTCCGGTATTGCCCGCCTGCTGCCTTCTTCTGGAGCAGGCATGTGCCGGAGTCTGAGCAGCAAGCGTTCTTCTCAGCTTCTACTGGAGACTGGTTGCAGAAGAACCTCCTCAAGGATGAGATCATGGTGTCAGGTGCTAGTTGGAATGTTTTTT